TGTGCTGCATTGCGCTCCAGCTCTCACAGGGCACCGGGAGCTCTCACAGCTGTGGCTCCTCCTCCAGGCAGGACTGACAAGCTTCCTGGGAAGGGTCAGACAGTAACCATCCTCGTCTTCGTGGGCGACGTGGTCTCTGTCGAGACCCCTCCACTCTGCCGTAGGCAGCAGGTGGACACGTGCATGGGGCTGGGCTCTGGGACAGCTTGACCGTACAAACAGGCAGCAGGGCCCGTGGCTACAGGTGGCCAACACGTTTGCATGTGCAATGGGAACATACATGTGCATCAGGCACCCACTCTGCCTGCCCGCCCGCCTGCCCGCCCCCGGCCTCGGTGGCTTCTGGGGCGTGAGAGCAGAGCTGGCAGTTCAATGCTCTGTGGACGACATCCTCAGGACTTGAGGTGGAACTGGGTTTCTACGAGAATCTCTTCAACAATGTCCCCGGCTCTGTGCGCTCTGGTTTCTCCCCTGTCTCCCCCCGGCCCCGGCAGTACTCAGACCCTGTGCCCCCATCTTCTTCCCCCAGCCCCGCCCTGGGACCTGCTGTCCTCCCCGGGGGCGTGTGCTCTGCTGCTGCCCCCTGCCCCTTCCCCGGGCAGGAGCCCGGCGGTGAGGCGGGAAGGTTGGTTGAATGTGTAGCTCCTGGCATCTCAGGGCAGGACATGGAGGTGACCATCTACTCGGGGACTCAGTGCGGACCGCCGGGTCCCCGAGATCCAGGTACCAAGTGTGTCCTCATTGGCGGTTGCAATCGCTAGGGGTCGAGCATCTGAACCCCTTGGGATGGGAAGGATGACCCTCCCCCTGCCCCCACAGGGGGCTTATGGGGGTCCTCAGCTGCTGGCGGGGAGCACCCAGAAGCCATGGCGCATGTGCAGGCTCAGTCAGGGGAGGTGTGTGTGGCCTGCACCCCCTCACCTCCCACGAGCATCCCTGGGCTGGAGGGACCACGACCTTGAGTAGCAAACAGAAAACGCCTTGGCAGGGCAGTGAGAGGGAGACGGCAGAGGAAAGAAAATGCTGCATCTTTCGCACCTGGAACCCCCCTCTTTCCCTGGATCGAAGCTCGGGGGCTGTAAAGAATCCTCTTCTGCCGAAGCCAGTGTGGCTCAGTGGATAGAGCGTCGGCCTGCGGACTGAAGGGTCCCGGGTTCGATTCCGGTCAAGGGAATGTACCTTGGTTGCGGGCACATCTTCAGTAGGGAGTGTGCAGGAGGCAGCTGATCGATGTGTCTCTCTCATTGATGTTTCTGACTCTCTATTCCTCTCTCTTCCTCTCTGTAAAAAAATCAATAATAAAATAAAAGAATCCTCTTCTGAGATTCATCCACCACGACGGAAGCTGACTAAGGAAATCCCTCTCAGCTCGGAGTCAGTGACCTTGCCTTGCCACGTGAGGGAGTAAGAGCTTCCTGCGCATGCCTCGATCTCCTATCTAAGACTCCAAATTCCCTTGTGATGGCTTTTAGGCACCAATGGGCTCCAGTAGGACATGGCGAGGGGCTACTGCGGGGCAGTCAGCCCCCTACCCTAGTTTCCCACAGACCGATTCATATTTCTTTCAAATGAGGGCACCTTATAGATAGAGAGCACAATCAAATCACTGTGCATGAAGTTTAATGAAACAAGAGGCAAAGAAAGTTGAAATTTTGTGATATTTCCTCTTCTTTCCCATTAAAGAAGGTAATGCTATCATATTCTAACATCCCTACTCTCCTGGTTTGGATAAACCAACTGTAAAGCTAATATTGTGGAGCTGGAGAAAGATAGTTGAATATGGGTTGGGAATTAGATGACAATAAAGAATTGGCGTGAATAGTCTTAGGTGTGATAATGACCTGGTGATCATGAGAACAAGTATTTCTCGGATGTACACGGAAGTGCTGATGGGTAAATGGGACTGAGATCTGTCTTAAACAAAAGAAGAGCTGGAGGAAGAAGACAACGAGAGAGAGAGGAAGACAGAGAAGATGGGAAGACAAGGCTGGAGATAATGAAGGCAGAGGAAGGAGAGAAAAGATGGGAGACAGAGGGAAAAAGACTGGCAAAATGACGATGCTGCGAAAACGAGGGAATTCATTATAATATTCTCTTTATCCCCATATGTGTTTTTAAATTCCCCTAAGGGTGTGTGTGTGTGTGTGTGTGTGTGTATGCGAGCGTGCTTATAGCCTACAAAAATTTTCTAATAAAATTAAAGATGCAGATTTCTCATTGTCTTCTCTACCAAATGTCTTTATTCCCTCTATTTTTTTTTTTTTTTTTTTTTTTTTTATGTGCAAAAGGAAGCATCCTGTGAGGCTGACAGGAGCGCTCCGCGCTGAAGAGTACAAAGGAGCTGATGGGAAGGAGAATCCGCCCATGGATTCCTGGCACAATGTATGCTTTAAAAGTAGAGAGAGGAGGGCGAGATGGCATTGTTGCTCTCCTGACCCTTCTCCCCGATGATGATGCCGCGGCCAGGGCTCGGGGTCACGGGGAGAATGACTCGGTGGCCGACCATTTGCTCCGGTTTGTGAACATCAAAAAGCCCTTGTTCTCAGCACATTCCAAGCTCAGCCTCCCACCTACTTGGGAAATGTCCCGAGTGCTCAGATTAGCACACACATGAATGAGATGACTCTATTGCGAGGATCGCCCCGCCGGGGCACCCAGAGAGGGCCGTCTTGTTACTGTGCATGGCCCGGCGTGCGACACTGAAGAAGTTAAACGCACTCGGTGTTTGTGGAGGTATTGCAGATAAATGCTCTGTGGGCCCAGCTGCTAGAAGTCAAATGGAAATTTCTCTCCCCGGCGCAGATGGCGGGCAGGCCAAGGAGCGCGCGGGCCTTGCAGACAGAAGGTCAGGTCATGGCTGAGAGACCCGAGAACAATCGCCGCCCGGCTGCCCCGGGTCACCCTGGACCAAGACACCGCCCCTCTGTTCGCGGAGACTGTCTGTGCAGACAAAACAGTGGCGAGGGCTGCCGAGGAGGAGATGTCCTCAAGCTCTGTCCCGGGAAAAAGGGTCACAGGGACATCACAGACAATCACGGGGCTGTCGGAGGTCTTATTTCCCAACTCTCTGACCCCCGAAAAATGCACATCTCTATCTAAATCAACACTGAAAATCAAATGGACACTCTATCCTATAAAACCTTCTTTTTTAAAGACTTTGAGGTAGGCTTTTATTTTAGAAAATTTATGAGAGGTCAGTGGGGGAAAGGAGACACAGGCAATACTGTAGGCAATACTTTAAACAATAAAGAATAAAAAATTAAAAATAAAACAACGCTGAGAATCCTCGTAAAGCTGTTAGGGTTTCATATCTACCAGGAACCGTTTACAAATGAAAGCTGATCCCTTCAAAATCCTGCGCCTTTAACCTCCACACTATCTCTGGTTCATTGCAATGAGACGTGAGAAATAACGGTAAAGGATTAACATGACAAAGACTCATTCGCATGTTTTTCATTTACAAGTGATATCATAATGCTATTGTTCCTGCAGTGTTTTTTTTTCTTTTTCTTTTTTTTTTTTTCTTCTTCTTTCTAGAAGATTAGAATGTGGATTTTAAATAACTCTGGAACTCTTCTTTGCTAGATTTTTCCAGTTAGCCCAACACATTATGCTGGCAGATGCTAGAGAATAACACAAAAGGTATAGAACAGTGCCAGCGACTATTCTAGAAAGGATACTTTTTAGAAAGTCATAATACATCAGCCTAGGAAAACTCCGTGTTAGGTCTGGAAGTCCTAACCTTCAGTCCCTGATAAAAAAAGGATTGTCAATTCCATTATCAGGCACGCCCCCAACTGGACGGACCAAAATAGTCCCGTTATTTGTACACGTTAATCACGAAAATTCTTCTGAGCATTTAGAATGCTGTAACACTCTGACTACCGCGGTACAAAAGCAGGATTTGCTTTTGTTTGTTTAGATTTTCATTTAGTGCCAGGGATTTCCATTTTGACTTGAAAAACGTTTTATACTAAGTTTCATTATTACTTTCATTTTCAATCTCTTGCCTAATTGTGTTTGTGTCTTAGAGACCTGATCGGGTTGGAAGGGAAAATACTGTTGGTGAATAGGACAAAAAGCTTTGAACTGGAAACATGTTTGTTTGTTTTTTATTTACTGAGGGCTACCTACTTTTACATTGCAGCAATTTCTCCAAAATACTGATAGTAAGACCTCAGTATCTTATTATTTTTATTTATTTAAATTCTTATGGTTAAATGGACACTCTGTATTATAAAATCTTCTTTTAAAGACTTTATGAGGTAGGCTTTTACTTTTAGAAAATTTATAGAGAAATTTTTGTCTTAATTGAACAAATTTATCATCCTGCTTTCCTTGAATTATAACATAAGAACAGAAAACCCAAATCAGCCTATTAGAACTGCTTTCCTCCACGTTTTGTCCACTTTGTCGATTAAAATCAGGGCATCTATATGATCTCAACCAAATAGAAGATAAAAAACACATCTGCGCAAACTGGAATTGAATAAGCAGAATTTTCTGGAACATTTCTAATTTTGCTGTTTTTAGGCAACCCGAGCAAACGTCTTCATGGTTATCTTAGTTAAAACTGGCTTCACTCTGCCAACAATCAATTTGATTGACATATTTACATATCAACTCATCTCATCGTACAAATTTTAAACTTTTTCACTTAAAATTGGATTCAAGTTGGCATCTTTCGAGAACTTCGTGTACGTATATTTTAGGTTCAAACTGTGCATTAGAGCATTTTTTTAAAAACTTTTGTAAGTAATAGATACACATATCCAAATGTATATTTATGACCTGTCAGAATGGAAATTCATATGCATGCAGTTGTACCCTCACCACTTCATGTGAAAGGTGGTAATTTTAGGCAACTACAAGTAAAATTCTTTTAATAGTATGAACTGAATCGTTCCATTAGAACCAATAAAATAGAGATGAATGACTTAGGAATGAAACCACCTCAGCTTCAGACAGAGTGTTCATGTGCTCACTGTGCCATGGCTTACCTGATCTTTCAGGTCAAGGTCCCTTTTAGCTTTGGCTCTGTACTCTCTGAGCTCCTTTTCTGCCTCCTCCTTCTCCATTTTGGTTTTATTCAATTGATAGTGCAATTCCCCACACACCTGTTAGATGACAAAAACTAGATCAATGCTAGTAGCTGCTGGAATCCACCAGCCAATGCCTGCAATTAGATCTTTTGGTGCCCTCTAGAGGGCATGTAAATAAAAAACAGCACAACTTTTCTAAGAATGGCACTTTTCCTATTAGACTATCCAATATAATATTCTGTTAAGATGTGGAGCCAACACCAGGTATTGCTGAATATAACAATTTCAAACTATAGATAAAGAAATGCATACTAAGGAATTTAAGTAATGTTTCATGATTTCTTCTGTAAAATCATAGTTTCAATTGCATATTACCATCCAAAATGCACTGTCATCTCAATTTTAAGTAGGTAAAATTATTAATGAAAATATTAAGCTATGGTATTATTCATTTAAATTCTTATGGTTAAATAGACACTCTGTATTATAAGACCTTCTTTTAAAGATTTTATGAAGTACGCTTTTATTTTAGAAAATTTATAAAGAAGTTTTTGTCTCTGCTATTAGACTATATTATTGATATCTAGGTGTAGTAGCCATATTAACTATAAGCTCTTTAGACAATGCCAATCTCATCATGCACAACAACGTATTTCAACTAAAGAAAGATTGCCTGGTAAAGGTCATGGGCTGGATCTAAGCACATTCTGCATTTGTAACTATAGATTTAGCAAAAAGGAAAATGTACATTTAAGTGAAATAATGCTAATGTATCATTAAATAATGAACCCACATCATGTCTTAAAAGTCTTTTCTACAGTTTTGTTTTCAATCTGTCGTCTCTACAGACATGACTATATTTGGAAAATGCAATTAGTAGATAAATTTATGTAAAGAAGTGATAAGCCTCGGGGAGAACGGAAGACTTATAGAGCGATGAATGAATATAAGGTTCTGCTCCGTCAGCCTCTAATGGACCAAGACAAGTTTTAAAAATCACTTGTCAAATTCGGTATTTCTCCAAAAAGGATGATTAGAACTTTGAAAATTAGTACCATCAATATTGAGGTACTAGAATCTTAGAAAACCTGTATGCATTTCCTATGTTCAAATAAAACATATCTTAAAAAATAAACTATTTTGTGCTCCAAAGATATAGTGACAAGACAGAAAAAAGCCAATAAGCTTTCCCCCAGTGGCCCACAAAAGCTAGAAAAATAGTAAAATTACTAAAAATTCTTTTTGAAATTCAAATGCTTTCAGCGTGTAAGTTGATCTTTCTCATTTCAAAAAATTAGTAATTTACATAAAGGCATTACTTTTAAAGCTAAAGAACATTTAAAAGTTAAGAGTGCCAGAAAAAAATAGAGGGTCCCTAATTTACTTTATTTCTTAGTTCTTCACTGTTTCAATCTATTTGATTTACCCTCATGAATGAAATGAAAATATCCAACTTGATAATACCAGAAAATAATAATTATACAACAATTATACAATCACGGTGTTTAAAACCCAACACCAACACAAAATTATTACATGTAACAAGTGTCTAAGCATTAGGTCTTATTGAAAATTATTTTATCCCTTTATTTTCTTTTTAAAATTCCCTTGCCTTACTACTTTCAGTTTAGCATTTGTGAGTTTATCCATAACATTGAAACTCTATCTAAAATAAATTGGACTAGAATTATATCATCTTTTGGTTGGAAGCAACCTCAATGCACTCCTCTAATGCCTGAGTCCCTCTGGAAAATTCTAAGGACAAATTATGCTCATTCTTTACTGCACAGATTTCAACAGAAAGTTCTCTGCCTACGATGAGCTGAGAACTCCGGCCATAGCTTTCATCCATAAATTAGATTAACCATGTTCATGCCTCTGCATCAGTTCTCCTACTTCTGCCCCTCTCTGCACACAAACGCATTTACTATGTGGGTAAATATGATATTTTTATTTTATTTTATTTATTTATTTATTAAAATATATTTTATTGATTTTTCACAGAGAGGAAGAAAGAGGAATAGAGAGTTAGAAACATCGATGAGAGAGAATCATCGATCAGCTGCCTCTTGCACACCCTCCACCGGGGATGTGCCCGCAACCAAGGTACATGCTCTTGCCCGGAATCAAACCCGGGACCTTTAAGTCTGCAGGCTGATGCTCTATCCACTTAGCCAAACTGGTCCCGGCTATATGATATATTTAAACATCTACATTTGCTAGGTTGATTAAATTCAGGGAAGAGAAAGAAAAATTAGGCTCCCTTTCCTACTGTAGGTTAAAGTTCACTTTAAACTTCATTTGAATTACTAAATTCTAAAACAACAATGGAATACAATAGGTCAAAATTTAGGAAAATATAGTGAGAAACAAAATTCAATATCAAAAGGTTATGAGTTTTAAAATAACCTGTGATGCCAAAACCGGTTTGGCTCAGTGGTAGAGCGTCGGTCTGCGGACTGAAGGGTTCCGGGTTCGATTCCGGTCGGGGGCATGTGCGTTGGTTGCGGGCACATCCCCAGTTGGGGTGTGCAGGAGGCAACTGGTTGATGTTTCTCTCTCATTGACGTTTCTAGCTATCTCTCTCCCTTCCTCTCTGTAAAAAATCAATAAAATATATTTTAAAAATATAAATAAATAAAATAACCTGTGAATATATTGATTAAAAGAATTCATTTAACTTATTACATCATGCATGCCATTATTTAGTTTCTTAGTGTTAAAGCAATTGATTACTGAAATCTACATGGACCTCTAGTGTTTCTTAAATACGTACCTTACATCAGCCAGTTAAGACTATTAAACATTTTAGTACTAAGTTCACAACTTTGACAGCAAAAAATATGACTTTTAAAGTATAAATTTAAAGACCAATAAAATAATTAGCTGTAGCAGTAGAACCTTGACTTCAGAGACCAAGTCTGAAAAAGAGATCAACCCTGCAGATTTCATGTTAAGTACATGCCTCATATTGTAAATATATGTCTTTTGGCATTATTATGAAGATCAGATGGTCAAACCTATGCTGTATCTGGCAAAAATTACTTATAATTAGCAAGTTGTTTTTTTTTTAAAAGCAACTGTTGTCAAATATTCCATAATTAAATAAAGCTTGCTTATTTATGAGTCTGTCTCAGCCACTGATCTCTTAAGCTCTCTGAGAATATGATTTGTGTCTAATTCATCTTTGTACAGTATTTGCAGCATCCAGCCAACAGTATGAACTGTATGTGAGTGACAATTAGGTGGACCTTTATTATCTTGAAATAACTAAACTTCTCCACTCCACACTTCTTTCTGAGCCTTGTTCATTAGGACAAGATGCTTCAAGGAAAATATGTAAGTAATGATTAAACTAAAATGTGGCTTTGTACCTTGGTGGCATCCGCTTCCCGGGAAGCAAGCTGGTTCTGAATTTCTTCGAGTTGGTTCACAGCTGAAACCTTCTCCCTTGTGGCCTTTTCCAGCTGGGCCTCCAGGTGGGCCAGGTTCTGAGACAGAGCCAACATCTGAAAGAGGAAGTCGGAGTCCTAAGTGATAACGTCATTTGACAGCTGAGAAGTAAATACTGAGTTCACAGAGCCTCAGCCACCGAGCCCTCTGAAAGCCCTCTCTCTGTGGATTGGTATGTCCATTTCTCTGCCTCTTCAACCCATCTACCCCCCCATGACGTAAGCATGTACTTCCCTGGTCTCTCTCGTCATCGCGGAAAACATATGACACGATGAGAAAATCCAAGTGTTGGTTGAAACTCTAAGGTAACAGATAGCAGACACCTAGGCTGCAGGAGTGATGGACATGACTACATTTCAGAGCTTGTGTCAAGGAATCAGACAATTCTTGAACCCCTCTCCACACACAGGGCATAGAGCACATGTGTCAAACACAAGGCCCGTGGGCCAAATCCGTCTTGCCAGGCCTTGCAATGTGGCCCGCACCGCGCTGTCATCACTGCACTCCGCTGCGTTTCCATCACAATGACAGTTTATGACTGTTCAGTAAACCATTCGGCCCGCGATTTAGGCTGGATTTTAGATTTTGGCCCTTTCTCTGATTGAGTTCGACACCCCTAGCATAGAGAATTGATCGAATGGGAGAGCTGGAGGGGCCGGCACTTCAGAGAGAGCTACTGGTGGTCTCTGAAACGCCTTCGCTTCCCCATCGTCACCGGAGGAGGCTCTCCGAGGTTCCCCAGCCTTCCCATGACCTCCTGGTCCATTCCTCCTGTGGGAATCCCCTCAGCCACATTTCCTCTCTGGCCCTCAGCTCCCAGCACAAACAGAAGCACCTTCATATACTCAGGGTTGCTCCTCAGTGAACATGCACTGGGTGGTCCTTCCTGCTGTTTGCAGCCTCCGCGCATTCTCATTGGCTGCTGTCCATGCAGTCTTGGTGCTGAAGTATTCCCACTACCACCTCTGTCTACCCTATGGCACCCCAGCCTCTGCACTTCTCACACTGTGTTCAGCGTCTGTTTCCTCACCAGAACTTCTACAATCTTCAAGGGCACGCTCCTCGAGAGGCACCGAATGTTTGGTAAATGCATTGGAAAACCAGAATAAATGGCTTTTCTGAGGGACTTTATGGGTACCAGGCAGTCAGATATCCTCTGAGGGGTCCCGGATTGGAGAGGGTGCAGGCTGGGCTGAGGGACCCCCCCCCCATGCACAAATTTTGAGCACCAAGCCTCTAGTTTGTACATAAAATTATCTTTACTAATACCAAGCTACAAACCACCCTTACACACATTCCAGTTCAAACCTAAATGTCAAAAGAAGCTCAATGTAACAATCAGAAACATTCATTTAAGTCCCTTAATAAAAAAAAAATTCAAGTTCATGAATATCCACATCCTGAATGTGTCATGCATGATAGCTTCTCTGGAAAAGTACAGCAACCATAAACCAAACTTTAATGACCAGCTCCTAAAAACCATCTTGACTTCTGTGGAGCTATGTATGGTAAGCATAAGATCACTGTGTGTTTTTGTTTTTTTTGAAGTAACTGCTAGACGTGTTCGCAGAAGCTCTCCTTGTAAATACTGAGTCCGTTTGCATGACAAGGCGTGTAACGCATCACACTCCATCCCTTCGGCCCCTCCCTCTGCCGCCTGCCACTTCTCCCCTCTGCCCGTTACCTGTCTGCTCCCTCCTGTCACCCACCCCGGGCCTCCCCTCCGAGTCACGCCTTCTCCGCCCCACGCCCACCATCTGGAAGCCAGCATCTCTCTGCGGGAGCCTCTCCATCCACATCTGTCGCAGGAAGCGGACAGCTGCGACCCTGTGGTGTCCGGGGCGGCGGCAGCAGGTAAGTCCTCTCTGCTCTGACAGGGCGAGCGGAGACAAGGACGCCCGGGTCGGGAGAGCCTGGCAGAAAACTCTGCCCTGACACGGCCCCCGGTGTGCTGGGCACGGGGTACAGCGGGCCTCCCGCCGCCAGAGGCACAGAATGAAGGACTCGACTCGGCACAGGGTTCCTGCCAGGAAACCAGGTCAGGAAATGCATGGACCACAGAGGGAGCTCCATACCCAGATGAGGAACGACTGACTCGACGCACAAGCCCAAGGAGCTCAGTGCCACCAAAGACCATCTCTCTCTCTCTTTTTTAAAATATATTTTTATTAATTTTTTTACAGAAAAGAAGGGAGAGGGATAGAGAGTCAGAAACATGAGAGAGAAACATTGATCAACTGCCTCCTGCACAGCCCCTAATAGGGATGTGCCTGCAACCAAGGCACATGCCCTAGACCAGAATCAAACCTGGGACCTTTCAGTTCACAGGCCGACACCCTATCCACTGAGCTACACCGTTTAGGGCCCAAAGACCATCTCTTAAGACAACAAACACACACAGTGAGGACTTTGCGTGGGGCAATGATTAAAAAGCTCTCCAGGCAGAAGGCATCTGTGCCCCTAGAGATGCCCACACACATGGGATTGTTAAATTAAAATAAAGGAGAGAGGAGGCAAATACTAACAAAAAGAAAGAAAGAAGATCTAAAGGTACAAGCGAGCACGTCTCGCTGCTGGAAGGCGGGAAGCCAGCTCTGGCAGTGACTAAGGACATTTACAACATCCTAATTCATTGATCCAGCTCCCTCCCCAATTAACTGCCTGAGCGAGGCGGTGTGATACACATTCTCTCTGAATCCCCCGGAGGAAGCATGGTATTGGATTAATTTCCCATTGAAAAAAGTGAGATTCGGTAAATGAAGTCATGTGCCCAAGTTCATTCAAGCTACTAAAGAAAAAGCAGAGCTAGGCTTTATATTCAGATCTGTCTGCTTTTACTCACAGGAAGACCCAAGAAATCTATCTAATAAGCCAGAAGCCAAAATGTATGAAATGCCCACGCTAAGTTAGGTATTGTGTTAGATACTTTCAAAACATTATCTCATCGAATTCAATCAATCCATGGAGTAGATCAGCTCCATTACTTACTCTCGAAATTTAAATATATATTTTATTGATTTTTTACAGAGACCAAGAGAGAGGGATAGAGAGTTAGAAACATCGATGAGAGAATCATCGATTGCTGCCTCTTGCACACCCCCTACTGGGGATGTGCCTGCCACCGAGGTACATGCCCTTGACTGGAATTGAACTCAGGATCTTTCAGGCCACAGGCCGATGCTCTATCCACTGAGGAAAACTGGTTCCCGCTATTCTTGAAATTTAGAGAGGTACAACCCTTTAAGGTCACAGTGAGGTCAATTTAGATTCAACCCTAAGACTTACTCCAACGCCACTTTCTGCCATTTGCTGGTGACAGCCCTCACCAGCGCTGGGACCATTTTCAGCCTTTATTTCTGCACCTGCACTGAGGGCAGGGCCTCGAGATCCAATGCCAACCAGTCCTCACCAAGGGCAAGACAGATGACTCAGCCTCAGATACATTACATCTCTGTCGTCACCTCTATTCAGCAAAGAATTGTCAGCATAAGAAAGAGGCTCTGTTACCTGTGCCAGCACCTGGAATAGTGCCTGGTGCATTCAGCCCTCTCATGTCCTTTCTTAGCAAGCATTCTCATCAAGATATTTTACACAGTAGAACTACTCAGCGAGGCAAAAGTTTCCACCAAACAACCAGAAAACAAAACAAAAAAAAATCTCCTAGGTGTGAACAGTTGCCGGTTTTTGCAGTTGATACCATTTTCTCTCCGCTCACGGTTTTACCTCCCCCAAGCCTTAGTCATGCTGGTATGGCCAGTATTCCTTCCCACACTCTGCATTTCTAAAATCCTCCCTATTCTCTGAAGCTTAGCTGAGATGCCGCCTTCTCCGAGAAGCCTTCCATGATCTCTTGCATACAGGGATTCTGATCCTCTGGATTCTCAGCATTTCATTCATAGCTTTCCAATTCAACAACAATATATGGAGCACATTTTATGGGAGAGGAATGTCCCAAGCTATGAAGGTGTTAAGAGGCCATACAATCAGGGAACTCCTAGTAAATGAGGGGAGACAAACAATTCAACAAGAACTTGGAATAAATTGAGTTCATCCCTGGGAGGCTGTGAGAGGAGGTGGTACCAAGAAGGACTTTGAAGCATCCATTGGAGTGGGCAGAGGGAGATTCCTCCAGGCAGGGGGCAAAGCACAAGCAAAACCCTGAAATAAAAAGATAGCGTGTCCCTAGCCGGTTTGACTCAGTGGATGGAGTGTCGGCCTGCGGGCTGAAGGGTCCCGGGTTCAGTTCTGTCAAGGGCACATGCCCGGATTATGGGCTCCATCCCTAGGGTGGGGTGTGCAGGAGGCAGCCAATCCATGATTCTCTTTCATCACTGATGCTTCCATCTCTTCCTCCCTCTCCCCTCCTCTCTGAAATAAATAAAAATACATGAAAAAGAGAAGAGTTTCAGCCTATAAGCCATGGGAGACATCGCCACCAACACTCGCGCGATGTGGATGCTGAGCGGGGAGCGGGAGTACCTTGGATCCCGAGTCCTCCCGCTCCTGCGTCAGCTCCTTCTTCATCATCTCTTTGTCGCAGGCCCGCTTCTCCTGCTGCGTGGCCAGCTCCCTCTCCAGCCGCTCCGCCTGCCTCTCCAGCTCGCTCCTCAGCTGCTCACACTGGATCAGAGCCTGCGGGAGAAGACAGTGCATGGGAGCTGGGGATTTAGAAAGATAAGGAGGAAATGAGACGGTGAAGCTGTCTTTTTTATTTGAAATACTTAAAACGCACTACAGCCCTAGCCGGTTTGGCTCAGTGGACAGCGCGCTGGCCTGTCGACTGAATGGTTTCGGGTTCGATTCTGGTCAAGGGCACGTGACAGGTTTCGGGCTTGATTTTCCAGTAGGGGGCGTGCAAGAGGCAGCCAATCAGTGACTGCCATCATTGTTTATATCTCTCTCTTTCTCTTTGAAATCAATAAAAATATATATTTTTAAAAAGACACACTATAAAGTCAAATAGACAATTTGTACACTTACTAATGTAACAGTTTTCGAGCATTACATTTATTTCGATTCGCATTATCAAGGCTACATTAACTTTTATCAACAAAATTCAGGAACCGGGCCTTGATGAAGGCCACGAATGAGTGAGAATCCTGAAAGGGGGATCAGAAAAATAAAATGTCCTAGTACTTTTGATTATAAACCATGTTAATATTACAAGAAATATGAAAGTATCCATTTTAACTGATTTTTCATTTTCTCATGGTTAATTTGAATATTTTAAATGTTAAACATGAAAAATTTTTTAAAAGATGTTGAGTTTATTTATTAGATACAAGCATCTGTTTTTATTTGTTTGTTTGTTTGTTTTATCATTATACTAGAAGCCCAGTGCACGGAATTCATGCATGGGAGGGTCCTTAGGCCTGCCCAGCCATCAGGGCTAGTCTGGGCCTCCCTGCTGCCAGCTGCCAGCCAGAGCCTTCCTTTGTTCCATGCTGCCCTCTGGTGGTCAGGGCACGTCATGGAGAGTGATCAGTCTCCCAATCAAACTCGCACAGGGACAATTTGCATATTAGGCTTTTAGATTGATAGATAGAAAGATAACAACCAAGTTTCTTTAAATATAATTAAGATCAGACTTAGTTCACTCCCCTTACACCTATAACTACAGTAAAAATTAGATAGTAATCAAAAGTTAAGATAAGGCAAGACCAAAAACATCTTATTTGTTTTATAAAATGAGAATTGCCATCTTCCACTTCTAGTTATTTAAAAATCCGTAACTGTCCATTAGTTTAAATTCCCCACTCTGCAATTCCAGAAGTAAAAATTCTTTAACTTCCTCTTGGTTATATTCATCTTATGTGTATATATAATACTCAATAATAAATGATGACTTCAAAATCCCAATTTTTAAAAATTCCTATAAAATTAAGTTGCTTCACAGAGAAGATCAGAGTCATCTTAAGGACTCTTTAGTTTTAGTCCAGTGGCCCAGGCTTACGATATCACCTGGTCCATCCTCTATTTCCCCAGAAGATAGAGACCCACGTGTCATGTGACTCCCATACTGTGTGGTCTTAAGTCTCACGGTCACATTTGCTGTGAATGGAGACGAATGGTCTCCGTGAGCAGTCAGTGTGGTTACACATATCTCTGCTTCCCTCTGCTGAGCACTACAGTAAATACAGTAAATGTCTAGGACATGTGAGCTTTCTGTCCTCAGCTGGGAAGTATTACACTACTAATGTCTTCCTGACACTTCTGGAAAGTTCTGTACGCCCAGATGAAGTTAAATTGTCTCAGATTTTTACTTCTGGAATTGCAGAGTGGGGAATTTAAACTAATGGACAGTTACGGATTTTTAAATAACTAGAAATGGAAGATGGCAATTCTCATTTTATAAAACAAATAAGATGTTTTTGGTCTTGCCTTATCTTAACTTTTGATTACTATCTAATTTTTACTGTAGTTTTAGGTGTAAGGGCAGTGAACTAAGTCTGATCTTAGTTATAGTTAAAGAAGTTTGGTTGTAAGTAGCTGCAGTTACTAAACAATGACTCTTCCACAGAACTAGTCCCAACTCCAATTCAAGTTGAGAATGTTTAAAAAAATTTTTTTTTTTAAATTAGATTTTAATTAAAAAGAGACATTTTAAAAGCACGTGGCCAAGGGGGTGACTGCCCCCTCCACCCAGCAACCTGTGGAAATGGTAGAAATGGCCGCAGGTCTGAGGAGCTGGGCATTGTGCTTCCCCACCCAGAACACTCAGTCCTCAGGGACTTCTCTCCTGGAAAGTCCTTCATCTGTGCTCATGCTTGACGTTCCCAGTCCTGGTCTACTAAACCAAAGAGTATGCGTTACTTATCTTAATGGAACATTTTCTAAAAGAAATGTCTATCTAGGTAACTCCATTTTTATTTATTTATTTTTAAACGTATTTTTATTGAGTTCAGAGAGGAAGGGAGAAGGGAGAGTGAGAGAGACAGAAACAGCAATGATGAAAGACAATCATTGACCGGCCGCCTCCTGCACACCCCACACTGAGGATCGAGCCCACAACCCGGGCATGTGCCCTGACCAGAATCAAACCAGGACCTCCTGGTTCACAGGTCGATGCTCAACCACTGAGCCACACTAGCTGGGCAGTTGACTCCATTTTTAAAATAGGCAACCTATTGATATAAAAAAAAGTCCTTCCCAACTGCCAGGGTCAGGCTCCTAGAAATCCTGATAGAATTCATCATTAAAGAATTAAAGATCTAATGAAAGGTACAGTTTTCACTTAAGAATGTAACCTTTAAAACATATGAAAATCGTTTTATTTGTTATGAAATGAAGCCCACAAAACAAAAATGGTTACCAGCATGCCTTAAGCATGTAACGTATGAATGGCATCAATACTGCTATTTCATTTATAAATGCTTGCTTACCAGAAACCTCTCAGCCAGCCTTACCCCTACCTCCCATGTTCAAGATACTTAGCATTTGTTTGGTTTGTGGAAGATAATGTTAAGTATTCAGAATAATCATTTTCTACGCCTGTGAATACAGTCAAATATTCAATGCTTTTGTGATTGCTTTTTTTTAAAATTCAGATTTCTCATTCTTGCCTTTCTGATTCTGCCTCAGTCCAGGAAAAAAAAAAAAATTATTTGGGTCCTTTAAAAGGAGAAAAAAAGAAAAAGGTTTGGGAGCTGGGAGTATTTATTCAACCTACTGTGTTGGTATTTTTTTGGGGGGAAAAATCCTTCTTGGCATGGTTATGCCATTCATATAAGCGTATGGTAATGTCACACCGAGGTCTACAGCTGCCCTTCGGAGAGAAGCAGGCTGGTCTTCACTGGGCGGACCACCCTCTCATTGGTAGCTCTCCCAGGCATCACTGAAAAGCCTCTGCTTGTTCACCCTCATTTAGTCCCAGGTTAATTTTTTAAAATATATCTTATTGATTTTTTTACAGAGAGGAAGGGAGAGGAATAAAGGGTTAGGAACATCGATGAGAAAGAAACATTGATCAGCGGCCTCCCGCATACCCCTACTGGGGATGTTCCCGCAACCAAGGTACATGCCCTTGACCGGAATCGAACCCGGGCCCCTTCAGTCCACAGGCACACGCTCTATCCACTGAGCCACATCAGTCAGGGCCCAGGTTGATTTTTTTTTTTTTTTTTTTTTTCCTCTTTTAAGGTTATCTCCACTATAATGATTTGCAATTTTCAAAGGAAAACAAAAACATCTGTTGAGCAGTAACTATGAACCAGGCACTTTGCTAAATGGCTTCTGTGTGGATTAGTTGATTTAACCCCCTCACCAAGTTTTAATTGGTTCTTATTCAGTTGAAGAAATTGAGCTTGGAGCTAGTAAGTAGCTTGTTCAAGATAAAAACCCAGAAAGCGGCAGGTAAAACCCAATCCAAAGTAGTTCTACATGGAACCTACAGGCACAGAACTGTAATTTTCTCTTTGGTAAATAAATTTGGTGTCTTATAAATTTCTCAGGTGTTTTCACTGCCACTATCAATGTACACACATAATATAAAATTACTGTTTTTTTTTTTAACTCACTTGCATGCGTTATGCAAAGTCGAACACTAGGTGGCACCAAATATCAAGGAACTATCAGAACAAAGTACCATTTCATAGCTCACTAACAAAGTATTTAGTTGGCTTCAAAATTAAAATATGAATGTTGTCTGTTTTTATTCTCAGAAAGCAAAACTACGAATGTGTTGTAACATAGCATAGAGAAAAAAATCAGTAGACTTGCACTGCATTTTGTAAACTGCTTAGAAATCAAACCTTGCATTATTAATAATTCAGTAAAATATGCTGTAGAGCCCTAGCCGGTGGTTTGGCTCAGCGGATAGAGCATCGGCCTGCGGACTAAAGGGTCCCAAGTTCGATTCCCGGTCAGGGCACATGCCTGGGTTGTGGGCTCCATCCCCAGAGTGGGGCGTGCAGGAGGCAGCGGATTCTCTCTCATCATTGATGTTTCTCTCTTTCTCCCTCTCCCATTCTCTCTAAAATCAATAAAGAATTTTTTTTTTTTTTTTAAAAGCTTACAAGGTGCTGTGCCTGTGGAGGCCGGGGTGTGAGAGGGGAGTGACAGGAAGTGGCCCTGGAGGGCACAGGGAAGCACTATGACAGGCCTCACACAAAGAGGGTGGTGGGGATCCCGGAAGGACGGTCACATGACCGCATCTGCTAAGAAAGACCCCATCCGGCTGCAGTGGAGCGGGGTGGAGAGGGGGGCCAGGAGGCTTTCATGGCTCCTCACCCCAGAGATCACAAGAAAGGGGACAGGGAGGAAGGAATTCCTAGATCAGAGCCGTGATTGGCTGGAGGCCTGAGGGCGGGGAGGCTGCCCTCCAGGCCTCCTGCAGGGCCTGTCCCCAAACAAGGGTGCCATTCAGAGGCCGGGACACAGCAGCTGGGGGGGACACAGCAGCTGGGGGCGGTGACTGTGAGCTCGGTCTGGACTGTGAAATGCACACTGACAGGGAGAGGGAAGAGGATGGGCCTGAGACGGCAGATGCAATGAGAGGTGAGAGGAGGCTGAGCAGCTAAAGGCAACAATGAGGACACCGAGGAGGTTTAATTAACGGATTGGGGAGCAAAAGATGGGTCAGAGAGAGCAGGCTCAGAATCGGGGTCCGGCCGAAACCGGTGTGGCTCAGTGGATAGAGCGCAGGTCTGTAGACTGAAAGGTCCCAGGTTCGATTCCGGTCAGGGGCATGTACATTGGTTGCGGGCACATTCCTGGTAGGGGGTGTGCAGGAGGCAGCTGGTAGATGTTTCTCTCTCATCGATGTTTCTGGCTCTCTATCCCTCTCCCTTCCTCTCTGTGAAAAACCAATAAAATATATATTTTTTTAAAAGTTAAAAAAAAGAAAAAAAAAAGAATCGGGGTCCTTAGGGACGCTTCGGTTAACCGGGGAGTTACAGTAGGACAGGGGGGCCGGGGGCAAGGAAGCCAAAGTGTGCGGGCCATGTAGGGACCAGGTGTCCATACGTTACCACATGGACACTGAAACCTTTGAGGCTGATGAGAGAAGAGGGTGATGCTGCAGAAGGAATAGCTCTCGCCCCTCCAAAGCCCACATGTTCACCCCCACCCTCCAATGTGCTGGTGTCAGGAGGGGGGCTATCTGATACAGTCACCACAGCTACGTGTGGCCACCGTGTGTAGGGAAATACAGAGTGACTCTAATGGATGGGGAGCCACCAAATAGCAATGACCCAGCCGAAACTCCTATTATTCAAAGCTCCTACAGCACTACCGGTCACTAAGTGAGAATTCTTACTGTCGTCATCATTATCTGTGAACATGCTTGATTTAGTACACACCATGGATCTAGACTCATAGCTAAGGATGCTATAATATTCACATATACTGTTATCTCTGGCCTAAACAGGCAGTCGGATATCCCTCGAGGGGGTCCCAGATTGGAGAGGGTGTAGGCTGGGCTGAGGGACAACCCCCCACCCCCTCACTCCATGCACAAATTTCGTGCACCGGGCCTCTAGTACACATATATTATTCTCTGTGGCATACTTGGATATTCTCAAAATTCCCTGTGGACAGCCCTAGCCAGCTTGGCTCAGTGGATAGAACCTCAGCCCGTGAACTGAAGGGCTCCAGGTTCAATTCTGGTCAAGGGCACAGGCCTGGGTTGTGGGCTTGCTCCCCAGTAGGGGGTGTGCAGGAGGCAGCCGATCAATGATTCTCTGTCATCATTGATGTTTCTATCTCCCTCTCCCTTCCTCTCTGAAATCAATAAATCAATATATATATATATATATATATATATATATATATATATATTCATATTCCCTGTGTACAGGGAAAAAACACATTTATCTTTAGTTATACATGAACATGTACTTTTGGGTGTCAAGATTTTTGCACCATTGAAATATATACCATGTTTCCCCGAAAATAAGACATCCTCCGAAAATAAGACCTACTTACAGGTTTCCTTCTGAGTGAAATATAAGGCATCCCCCCGAAAATAAGGCCCTCCTAGGCTAAACATGAGAGATTTGGTCCACTGATTCTGAAAGAAATGGAGTCACAAGAAATTCACCAGGAAATTCAGGAATTGGATTGTTATGATGATGTTCCAGAAGATGATGACATGATTGTCATTGAATAAACGAGTAAATTCTTGATACTGTAGGATTCACAGTTTGTCTGGTTTGTGTTGACAACTACCATACTACGGTACCGTATACAGGTAATAAATTCCCTTTATTTTCATTTCACAATAAATGTGTACCGTATTCTTCTTCATGGAAAAATAAGACATCCCCTGAAAATAAGACCTAGTGCATCTTTGGGAGCAAAAATTAATATAAGACAGTGTCTTATTTTCGGGGAAACAGGATATATATATATATATATATATGTATGCCTAAGCTACTGTTAGACTGTTTGACTATGGTAGCTATGATGCGTACTGACCACCATGGGACAGATGCTCAATGCAACGCACAGGCATAGAAACATGAAACAGACTGATGAATCTCAGAGCGAAGGGGAAGTGGGGAGGAGGGAGGGTGAGGAGAGATTGACCAAAGATCTTATATGCATACTAGAGGCCCCGTGCAAGAATTCATGCACCAGTGGAGTCCCTTGGCCTGGCTTGCAGGGATCGGGCCAAATCCATGCACTGGGCCTCCAACATCCCCCAACGGGTCCCAGATTGTGAAAGGGCACAGGCCAGGCCAAGGGACCACACCGGTGCACGAATCCGTGCACCGGGCCTCTAGTCATCAAATACAAAGATCGAGCATACGAGCCTCTCAAAGTCCTTGACCGCAATGTGTCGTGTCCTCTGGGCAGCGATAGAAGAGCATCTGCAGAGGAGTAAGAACTCTCCAAACGGAAACTGGTTTAATTCAGCAAAGTCAACATAACAGATTAGCACTCACGTTGCGTGTTTGGAAAGAAGAGTTTAGCTATGGGAGGGTGAGGGAAGACATCCTCAGGGGGGCCAACGGGACCACGATGGCCGGCCTGGCCCTGGCCCTGCCGGACTTGCCTTGGTTTTCTCGAGGTTGGCCTCCTCCGTCATCTGCATGGCGCACTTCACCTGCTCGTAGGCGCCCGCCTCCCTCAGCTGCACGTCCGCCAAGCTGCTCCTCGCGGACACCAGCGCGGCCATGAGGTCATCCCTCTCCCTGTCGGCACAGAAAGGGCATTGAAAGCCAAAGAGGAGCAAACGGTCGTGCATTCCGAGGTCAGGAAGGAACAAGCTTAGCGAAACTCAGTGGACAGAGCGTCGGCCTGCAGACTGAAAGGTCCCAGGTTCAATTCCGGCCAAGGGCATGTACCTTGGTTGCAGGCACATCCCCAGCAGGGGACGTGCAAGAGGCAGCTGATCCATGACTCTCTCTCTCATCTATGTTTCTAACTCTCTATCTCTCTCCCTTCCTCTCTGTAAAAAAATCAATAAAATATATTAAAAAAAAAAAGGAAGGAACAAGCCTGAGGACACCTCGGAAGAGAGCGGCGGGCTGCCCCGCACACAGCATGCAAGGGCAGAGAAAGATCCTCTGTTCTCGCCCACGGGTGGCAGGGCAGTAGGGAGACGGAGGTACCGGGCTGGACGGCATCCACTGGTCATGGACCATGGTGGAGACACTGGCACCCTGAGGGGTGCAGACAAAGGCCCAGAAAAGGGGAGATTCGTTTAAAAAGGAAACAAAGCAACAAGGTAGAGAAGCTGGGGGATGAACCCCAAAGCAGAGGTAAACATATGAAGAAGGGACAACTGCCAGTTCTCTCATCTACTTGGACGAATATAAGTCCTTTCCCTTTTTTTAAACTATGTTTTTATTGACTTCAGAGAGTAAAGGAGAGGGAGAGAGAGGGAGAGAGAAACATCAGTGATGAGAGAGGATCATTGATCGGCTGCCTCCTGCACGCCCCACACCTGGAATCAAACCGTGCCCTCCCAGGTCATAAGCCGATGCTTAACCATTGAGCCACACCAGCCAGGCTATGTCTTTTCCTTTGTATCTGCCTCCCCAGTCCTCTTTTTCACTCTCTTCTTCTAGTTAAATTCTTTCCCCTACATAGGAACACTTTTCTCCTCTCAGTGGATAAGTCCTGTTGGACTCCTCAGATGCCCTGGTCACCCGTGTAATACCCAGGAGGCGATAATCTCATCCCGCTGGCTCTCCTCATGGCCTCGCCCCTCCTCTCCTCTCCCCCATCCGCAGCCGTTCTCAGAAGGGCCGGAGCCAGGCTGTTTCTCAGAGAGAGAAGCGAGGGGAATGCCAAGTGCCTTGGCGTATGAAACAGCCAGGATCCATTCTTACGAGCTCAGTGAATCCCACAGGAAAGGATTGGCACATTTGGGACTTATCTGGGGGGTTAAAGTGGCCGGCAGGCCAGAGAGAAGGCGAGGTGGAAACTTTGCGCACACACAGAGTTAAAAACCTGGAAGGTGCAGTGCTGAGTGCTTTGTCAAAGAGCTCGTTTTTCAACTATGGTTTCAAGTTCGGCTGAAGTCACTGCTTGCCATGTCCTTCCCACTGCCAAGTTCTAAACCAGCAGAAAACAGCCAACTGTGATTTTCTTTTTAATTTTGCAAACTTTCGAGTCATGATTGAAAAGATGATAAACTCTGGGTGTGAGCTGCTTTCAGAATTAACCAGGGACTCCATCTAAAGAGATCTCTCACAGAGACAGTGATTTAAACTATTTGTGGTATTTGGAAAACAGCCATATTTTAAGAAATGTGTAACGCTGAACAAAGTTACAATTATTAAGCTTCATAAAGGCTCCTTTTGTGAAAAAAAAAAAGAATAGATTGCTGCAGATACCATAAAATTCATGAGAGCACGGTAACCTTATTTTAGATTCCCTGATGTGTTTAAGTTGAGAAATAAAACTCACTGTCATGCTTTTGTTCTAAAGAAAATGAAACAAGTTACTTCTTTTTAGAAAATATATTTAAACACGATGATGATGTGAAAAAGTGGGAGTCAAAGCAAATTATTCTAGTTATGTGATAACTAAATTAAATGCAAGCACAACTGAATGTATATTTATTTACACTTGTTTAAAAAAAAGATATTTTATTGATTTTTTACAGAGAAGAAGAGAGAGATAGAGAGTTAGAAACATCGATGAGAGAGAATCATCGATCAGCTGCCTTTTGCACACCCCCTATTGGGGGTGTGCCCGCAACTGGGTACATAGCCTTGACCAGAATCGAACCTGGGACCCTTCAATCCGAAAGCCAATGCTCTATCCACTGAGCCACACCGATTCCGGCTATTTACAGTTCTAAACGAGCGCCAACACCAATGGCCTCACTGAGAATACACAATCCACGGAAACCCCCTCCTTCTAGAACAGTGGTTCTCAACCTTCCTAATACCGCGACCCTTTAATACAGCTCCTCATGTTGTGGTGACCCCCAACCATAGAATTATTTTTGTTGCTACTTCACAACTGTAATTATGCTACTATTATGAATCATAATGTGAGTATCTGTGTTTTCCAGTGGTCTTAGGCTCTACAGCAGCGGTTCTCAACCTGTGGGTCAGTTTGAGAACCATTAGCAGGGTCACCTAAGACCATCGGAAAACACAGATAATTTACATTATGATTCATAACAGTAGCAAAATTATAGTTATGAAATAGCAACGAAAATAATTCTATGGTTGGTTGGGGGTCACCACAACATGAGGAACTGTATTAAAGGTTCGCGGCATTAAGAAGGTTGAGAACCACTGTTCTAGAAGAATCACAAGGTCACTCTTAAGGCCAGCAGGTCTACCACCCGCTGGAAGTCCAGCAGCTGCTCGCCGGCCCCCTGACCTGTTCCTGACACCACGGGGGCATGAAGGCCAAGGTTCCAAACAGAAAGGATTAACAAAAAGCCCAGGGTTTGTACATATCACAACAGGATCAACACCTAACAGATTGGCGTCTTGTGCTTCATACATTTAACCTCTTTTCAGTATATCCTCTGCTGAGTGGTTGGCCACGCGAGATGCTCAAGGAAATAAACAACAAAAGAACAAATGAATGACTCATGATCTGGCCACAGGAGGGCACTGTAAGAGCTGACCTAAAACTCCCTCTTAGTTCTCCTATTGTATGACCCAAATTTAAAATGTCAACAGACTCATTTAGAACTGGAAGATAAATGATTGAGTTGCTCTGGTTCAAAGAATTTTGAGCCCAGTCAGCATGGCTCAGTAGTTGAGCATTGACCTATGACCCAGGAAGTCAGGGTTCGACTCCTGGTCAGGGCACATGGCTGGGCTGAGGGCCTGATCCCCAGTGTGGGCTTTGCAGGAGGCAGCTGATCAATGATTCTCATCATTGACGTTTCCATCTCTCTCCCTCTCCCTTCCTCTCTGAAATCAATTTAAAAAAGAAGGAGCATGGGGGTCAGTTCTGTGCCCGATTAATGCGCATGTCCTATTTAAGGGGCTCGGCAAACAGGACTGAGCAAGACCATGAATAATCTGGACCAAATGTTTGACATAAGGAAGAGAGAGACTTTGTATGATATATACGTATAGATATATATATGAGCTTCATCCTGAACGAAGGAGTGCCTAAGAAATGCCTTGAATGCCCAAGCAAGTTAGGCCACAGCTACTGCTGGTTTAACGCATTATAAAGCATCATTAATAAGTATCATCACTGCTTCCCAAAAGCAAGTCCGGAAGGCTGACTTCAACATTTCCTTGTTCCTCATTTCTGGGAAGTCCCTGCCAGGGTCTTTCAAAGCCAAGTTTACAGAACACTGTGGACGACCCACCCCCAAATCATGAGCTGGACAAGAGGCCCAGGATGGAGCAGTGGTGATCACTTCTTCTCTCTGAGCAGTGAAACTTCTCCACGGCGGCAGGAGCAGCAGCAAGAAATGTAATCCCAGCCGAATCCTGTTTTCTCAGTGGTTAGAGCATCGGCTTATGGGCTGAAAGGTCCCAGGTTTGATTCCGGTCAAGGGCATGTACATTGGTTGCAGGCGAATCCCCAGTAGGGGGTGTGCAGGAGGCAGCTGGTCCCATCATCAATGTTTCTAGCTCTCTATCCCTCTCCCTTCCTCTCTGTAAAAAAAAAAATCAATAGAATACATTAAAAAAAATAAATAAAAAATAAATAAATGTAATCCCAGCAGCTCCATCCTGATGGGAAAGGCGTTTTGGTGGTGAAGCAGGAAAAAGAGATGACTGTTGCTCTGACCTTCCTTGTGGCATAATGAAAGGCAGACGCTCAGAAACACCAGGACTTTGGTCAACATTTCAAATAAATCCGGGGTTTTCGGCAGCTGAGTACACTCCTCTGAAAGTCCCCGAATCCCTCACAGAACACCACAAACACACAGGTGGGCTGCTCTCCATGTCAAGTGCTCATGTCACTTCTGTGTCATAAACTCACTTCACTACGTGCTTAATAGATCAGCCCAGCCGCTGGAAGCTGCTGTCCCTAGACCACGTCTCCAGAGGCTGGGAGACTCTCGATTTGTCCCTGGTGGGATATGATTCTTCTTTTCTTTTTCCTTTTTAAAAAAATATATTTTATTGATTTTTTAAAATATATTTTATTGATTTTTTACAGAGAGGAAGGGAGAGAGAGAGAGAGTTAGAAACATCACTGAGAGAGAGTCATCGACCAGCTGCTTCTTGCACGCCCCCTACTGGGGACGCTCCCGCAACCAAGGTACATGCCCTTGACCGGAATCGAATCCGGGACCCTTCGGTCCGCAGGTCCTGATGCTCTATCCACTGAGCCAAACCGGGTTCAGCTGGGATATGAGTTTTCAAACGTCATGTTAAAGCCTTGCAGGAAATACAGCTCACGGAGGGAGGGGTCATGCTTCCCGTTCTGCTTAAAGACAGAACTCCAACTTCAAAGGCAGAATAAACCCCAAGTTCCGCATGAAGAAGCAAAAGAAGCTGAACCCCCGCTGAGGCCAGGGGGTGGGACAGACAGACAAAGGTTTTCACTGACCACACAAGCAAAGACCTTCCACCGAGTTCCTTATCAAAGGAGGACATGAGCCCTGACATGCTGACAAAGCAGAAAACTGAACTGAGGAGGCTGACACTTATGTTAACAGGCTGAGCGCTGAGATGTAAGAATAGACAATGGGCTGCACGGCCGAGCAGGAATCTAATTCCCAAGTGACTGCCAGGCTTGGAATCAGGGTACATACTGTTGCCTCCATGATCTTCAAGGTCAATGTCAAAGGCAATATAAGAAGGAAAAAAACCCATGCGGGTTTTTGTTGTTGTTGTTGGTTGGTGGGTTTTTGCCTGTTAGTGGTTTCTGCCTTTTTTTAAATTTTTCTGTGTTAATCCTCACCCGAGGATATTTTTCATTGATTTTTAGAGAGTAAAAGGGAGCGGAAGAGACACACAGAGAGAAGCATCGATGTGCGAGAGCCACTTTGATCGGCTGCTGCCTGCACACCCCACACTGTGGGGATCGAGCCTACAACCCAGGCATGTGCCCTGGCCTGGAATGAGGCGCCTCCCAAGCTCAGTGTTGTCCTGAGGAGTGCTGGATTTGCAATTACAGAGCCAGAGAAATGAACAGAAATGTGCTGGCCCTCTGCTGCAATTTTCTCACCTCGAAATGAGACTGAAACCTAGAGGGAGAAAATGATTTGTCCATGTTACCTACAGTTGGCTGAACTCATTTATTCTGTTTTCAAGAAAGCTCCGTGAAGGAACCTTTTCTTCTTAGTTTTTATTTTAAATGTGTTTTTGTTGATTTTTGAGAGAGCTAGGAAGGGAGAGGAAGAGAGAAGCATCAATGAGAAACATCAACATCTATCAGCTGCCTCCTGCACATGTATGTGTGTGTATGTGTGTGTGTGTGTGTACACATGCGTGTGCGCGCGCACACACACACACACAAACACACACACACACACATCCATCCTACTGAAGATTGAACCCTGAACCAGCAACTTCTCAGTGCATGGGACAACCAACCCATTGAGCCACACCAGCCAGGGCTGAAGGACCCTTTAAAACCCATTTGATGCCGAAACCAGTGTGGCTCAGTGGATAGAGCGCCAGCCTGCGGACTGAAAGGTCCCAGGTTCGATTCCGGTCAAGGGCATGTACCTTGGCTGCGGGTACATCCCTAGTAGGGGGTGTGCAAGAGGCAGCTGGTCGACGATTCTCTCTCATCGATGTTTCTACCTCTCTATCCCTCTCTCTTCCTCTCTGTAAAAAAAAATCAATAAAATATATTAAAAAACAAAAACAAAAACATTTGACCTGAAGCTTTGCATGAACCACAGGTGAGGGATTTAGCCCAGGAGAGAAGAATCGATGCCCCTGGAAAAGACAGTGCTCCGTGTTCCAGAAGGTTCCGCAGGGGGCGGCACACTTACTTGGTCAGCCGCTCTATGGTCTGCACGTGGACGTTGCTGTGCGTCTGGGAGAGGACAGCCTCGTGCTGAGCGCACTTCACACACAGGCCGCCCACGCGGTTAGGGTTAGACGCCTGGGCAGCCAGGACGGACTCTTTGTGCTTTAGTCGCACTTTAAGATCTTCACAGTTTCTCTGACTTTCGGCTAAATTTTTCCTAAAGAGAAGGGGAGGAGAATTCCGTAAGTGGTTACAGGACTTCCCGATGCATCAGCAGAGTCACAACCATTCCTGTTATTCATGCGTGTGAACCTTTGAGGTTGCTTTGCATATGAATTCTCACCACAACCTGGAATCCGAGGCGTGATCATCCTAATTGGCCCTCTGAATAAAATGAGACTTGAATATATTAAATAATTAGCCAAAGTTCTCGTAAAATTAGTCTGCGGGTGATACTGGCTCTCCTTTCTTAGGATCTATTACATTATATGAACCACAGAACAAACGTAAAACCACAAATACAAATTCTAAATAGTTTCGTCTAATAGAGGGGTGGGGTGACTTAACACAACACCCTTGAATTGAGGGAAATAGCCCATTTCTTTCTTTTTTTTTTAAAAAAAAATATATATATTTTATTGATTTTTTTTTTTACAGAGAGGAAGGGAGAGGGATAGAGAGTTAGAAACATCGATGAGAGAGAATCATCGATCAGCTGCCTCTTGCACACCCTGGGGATGCGCCCGCAACCCAGGTACATGCCCTTGCCCGGAATCGAACCCGGGACCTTTCAGTCCGCAGGCCGACGCTCTATCCACTTAGCCACACCGGTTAGGGCGCCCATTTCAAGTGTGAATCCTATTACTGTCCATGTTTGTTCACACGGAAAAGTTTTCTAACTGCAAAGCTCTACAAAGAGCAGTTTGAGAGACAGGGGACCATGGGGGAAAGCTATGTGGAACCTGCCAGGATTAGGGTTTCATAAACGGCAGGCACTAGCTGGAAATATTATAGGCAGCTTGCTAATGAAGGGGGGGGGGCCTGAGAAATCGGGGGGCTGTTTGTTTTGACCTGAAGGGATTATCCTTGGATGATGTTTTTCTCCAAGTTTTGCAAAGTCACCTTGGGCGGACTGAGCTTCCCGGTGAATAAAAAGAAACTTCCTAGCTCAGGAAGGAGAACGCTGCCCTCTCCCTCCCTCTCTCTCTGGCTTTGTCTACTTTTTTTTCTCTTTTAAAAAAAAAAAAAAAAATATATATATATATTTTTTATTGATTTCAGAGAAGAAGGGAGAAAGAGATGGAAACATCCATGATGAGAGAGAATCATTGATCGGCTGCCTCCTGCACGCCCCCTACTGGGGATCGAGCCCACAACCTGGGCATGTGCCCTGACCTGGGAATTGAGCCAGGACCTCCTCGTTCATAGGTCAGTGCTCGACCACTGAGCCACACTGGCTGGGCTGGCTTAGTCTACTTTATGTTGCCAGTTTGTATTATATTCAGGGACCGATAGCTGTCCCAACGTGCTCACTTCAGGGACTGGAAAAGCTAATCTCACAAGGTCTGAAATCAGAAAATAAATGGAGCTGGTCTTGCCCTATTCCCAAGATTATACTGTCTCGGCATGTTTCCTGCTATGTGTCCAGAAGAGAAAGTCTGACTTCCAAAGGCTTTGAGAAAAAGCCGAAGGAACAGGGCCTCGCTGACTGTGACAGGTGCAAGTTCAGGGCACTCACGTGGTTCTGGTTACTCAGAACGGCAAGGAACGAGTGTAAAATGAAACAATTCCCGTAAAGCCAGAGTTCCTGAGAGCAGCGACTTTCTTTCTTTCTTTGAGAAAATGCGTCTATTAATAATCTTAAATATTATTACAAAAGAAAATAAAGAAACAGAAGGGTGCAGGGAGCAGAGTGGAGTTCAGAGTAAGGTGGTGTATTAATGGAATTAAAAAGAGCATATTTGAATTCTAATGAGACCAAATGAATCACATTACCATAAATATAATGAGTTAGAAATGAATAATTTAAAAAATTAAAGACTCAAAACACAATATATGAAACTATAACAAAGATGAAAGGCAAAATGAGACCATAACTTAAACATTAGGTTTCTTCATGAAAAAGTAAAAATCTGCAGAGATCATCAATAAAGAATAAGGAATGGAAAGCATACAATTATGTTAAGATAAGTGAACAAGTCCAGCTGGCATGGCTCGGTGATTGAGCAGCCACCTATGAACCAGGAAGCCACCGTTCGATTCTGGTCAGGCCTGGGTTGCCAGTTCAATCTCCAGTAGGGGGTGTGCAGGAGGCAGCTGATCGATGAGTCTTATCATTGATGTTTCTATCTCTCTCTCCCTCTTCCTTTCTCTCTGAAATCAATAAAAATATATATTTTTAAAGATAAGTGAACAATGACATGTACAGGGAAAGCCTGGTTCTTAGTATTACTCCAGTTTCGTCTTAGACAATACCGGGACGCAAGACTTAAAATTTTATTTCAAATTGGACTATTAGAATAATTAATTCATTAAAAGTAATTTAATAAATAAAAGTATTAGTGTTTTAAAGTTCCTTTGATTTGAAAATATTTCATTACTCTTGTTTAAAATAATATTTAACATAGAAAAAATAATTCCTGGTATCTTTTTGTATAAGAAACAATTTTCTAGCTTAAAAGAAAGAGCATTGCACTTAAGTTCTTGGACAATAAATATTTAATAAATCAATAATGGTTAATATATAATATATAGGTTTTATTAGGATTTTTGAAAACATATAAAAAATAAATGAAAACTCATTATATATTACAAATTCATCATGTATACAAAAATACTCAAGCTATTATAGTATTGTTGAAATGCTAAAATTAAATGAAGAAACGTAGATAACAAAAAATTTTTCTCTTACATGTAATTTGAAAACTGGAGTGATTTATTTTTACTATCTTGAAAGCTTAATTTCTATAAGAGCAGCTAGTGATTCTTATTTCACTAATATCTTAGTGAAATAGTTGTAATATTTTACAACTGATGAAAGAACAAAACTGATAATTTAGTTCCCAGTGATTTGAAATAACATTTGAAAAAGGACTTCACAGATTTATTTCCCCTTACCCTTTAACAATGTGAGAAAATGTCTTGTATTGCAAGCAAAATGGCGTCAAATACTTCTTATAGTGACTAAACTGGGATTTCAGCAAACACTCCAATATATTTCAAGCTCATTACGTTTTTGCTATGTCTTTCCATGGATGATGATACTTTACCTCAAAACCCTCAGTTGAGATTCCAGGATTTCACACTTTTGCTCATAAGTAAGTTTCAGCCTCTCCTTTAGAAAAGAAAAGAAAAAAGTACATTTCTTCTGTATTCTGTGTTTTGTAAGCAAATTTTAATTACTAATATTAAACTCAATATGTTTCCCAGGAGGAAAAAGAATATGTTCTCTCAGGAGAACACACACACACACACACACACACACACACACACACATATATATATATACACACATATATACATATTTTAGAAGCCCGGTGCATGAATTCATGCATGGGTGGGATCCAGCCAGCCTGGCCAGGGGGAAGGGCCATGGGCGACTGGCCAGCCTGCCTATTGGTCGAACTCTTGGTCAAGGGGACAATTTGTATATTAGCCTTGTATTATATAGGATATACACTGAGTGGCCAGATTATTATGAGTACAGAGATCATAATAATCTGGCCACTCAGTGTATTGAATGGATACCTGCACAGAACTACTGAGTCATAAAATGGTAATTACTGACAAAAAGTTTTTTTCAAAGTTGCATAAATCGGGTCTTTCTTTAAAGAGTGTGACCCTGGGCCCGGCCAGTGTGGCTCAGTGGTTGAGCATTGACCTATCAACTAGTAGATGACTATTGGATAACCAGTCAGGGCACATGCCCAGGTTGTGGGCTTGCTCCCCAATGTGGGGTGTGCAGGAGACAGCCAATCAATGACTCTCTCATCATTGTTTCTATCTCACTCTCTCCCCTATCTGAAATAAATGTTATATATATATAATATATATATATTATATATATATATATATATATATATGTAACATATATATTAATTGTGATGCTGGAAAAAACTAATTATAACCAACAAGGTCAATGAGGACAAAGATCCAATCCTACTGGAATCCCCTATTGAGTTTGCTATATATTTCACATACAATAAATATGCATAGATTAGATATGTGTGCATGACAGACAACTGGATGAATGATGGGGGCAAGTTGTGAATCCCAGGATGATCAATCAAACTCTACAAGCCCCTGCTTGTAATTCTTTCATCCAACAAATATATTTTGGGTATCTAAGATGAAGACCCCTCTAACTCCAAGAAACTTAGAGTCTAGGAAGGAACAGAAAGACAGATGTGCATTCAATTATACTTGCATGTAATTAATGCTAGCGAGGCATACAGAAGGTAAAATTACAGGAATCTGAAATTCAAGCAAAGAGACGCAGCGGAAACTTCATGACACAAAAGCCTCATTTCCTATAGAGCGAAAGGCACAGGGGCTAGAGATGTGAGACACTAGGTGGAGAGTGTATAGAGATGGCTGCACAGTAGGTAGGCCACGGACAATATAAAAGCAGTAAGACCTTCATTTAGACGGCTCACGTAGTCTCTGCATGCTGAAAACTCTTGATGACAATATAATGTGTTGGCACGAATCTGAGCAACAGTATCACTCATATGCTGCTGGTAGAAGTCTAAACTGATAAAAGCCACCTTGAAAAAGTTATCCCTAATCTCAATTTGAACGTATACACACATACCTTAAGACCAACAGTTCCACTTAATGGTGCATTCCCAACATAAATGTGTGCAATGCATATCACTGAGTCATAAAATGGTAATTACTGACAAAAAGTTTTTTTTGTCATAGCTGCAATGTTCATAGCAGTGATTTTCACAATAGCCCCAAACTGGGAACAATACAAAGATCCATCAACAGTTGAATGGATGAATGACTGTAGTGTATTCATACACTAGACCACCCCCCAATGAAAATGAACAAACTTCCACACATTCAGCTTGCATGAACCTAACAAACATAATGCTGAATAAAATAAGCCTGACACAAAAAAATATATATACTCTTTGACCCCATTTACATAATGTTTAAAAAAAGAGGCAAAAATCAACTGGAATGTTTAAGGATCATGCTTAGGCAATTTTCGTAAAAATCAAGATACTGATTAGCTTTCGGGGAGTGAGGGATGATGAAAAAGTTCTGAAAATAGTGTCCATGGTTGCACAACACTGAATGTACTTAATGCAAATGAGCTGTACAGTTAAAATGGTAAATTTTAAAGTATCAAAATGCTAGATTTTAGGTTTTGTCTATTTTCCAGAATAAAAGACTACAAAAAAGTAGATGCATAAACAGAAAAGCTCCAAATACTCACCAGTTCTAGCTTCCATTTCTCAGCCTCATGAGCAGAGGAGACCTTGGTCATGTCTGCATCGCCATGGGAATATGATTTGACAGCTTCCTGAACTCCTGAATCCTCACCTCTTGTCATCCAAGAATTCTGCATGTTTCCCTAAAATAAAATGTGCCAATAATTGCAATCAACACTGCCCTTTACATGAACACGCATGCTTTAGCAATGGAATACTAATTCTTTTTTTATTTTTTATTTTTTTTGTTAATCCTCACCTGAGAATTTTCCCCCATTGATTTGTAGGGAGAGGGGGAAGAGAGAAGGAAAGACAGAAAGAAACATGGATGTGAGAAAAACACATCGATTGGTTGCCTCCTGCATGAACCCTGTCCAGGGCCCGGGGCCAAGGGGGAGCCTACAACCAAGGTACACGCCCTTGGCCAGAATGGAACCTGGGACCCTTTCTTTGGTCTGCAGGCTGACGCTCTAGCCACTGAGCCACACCAGCTAGGGCGGAATGCTGATTCTTATCTGTGATGAAAGAACTTGAAGAGCAGATGCTTCTCCACTACAAATCAATAATCACATTACGTCTTCAGGCTAGCAGGGTCATATTCCACAACAAGCTCCCCAAGGTCAAGTTCCTACAGGTACAGGCAGTAACGTACATGAGCAGCGAGGGGGGTGGGGAGGGTGTCAGGGCAGTCAACGGATGGGTTTACTCTTGAGACACAGCCCTCTTCACTTTGCCTTTCACTTTCCACATCACTCAAAGGCATGACTAACAATAGTTGTTAGATCATATGGTGTTTACTATGTGCCTGACAATGTTTATGTGCTTCGCGTGTAGTAACTCATTTCATCATTATGACAATCCTACAAGTGTCATGATTATTTTCATTTTATAGGTGAGGAAACTGAGTCACATAGAGTAACATTCTAAGACTTTCAGAGGCAGGAAGTAGCTAACATGTGGCATAGGCAGGATCTGAACCCTGGCCATCTGGCTCCAGAGTCCATGCCCTACACCACTATGCTCTTCTGCCTTTTCAGAAAAAAAGTACTTACCTTCGATAAGTAAGACAGAACTGACATGTAGCCTGCGTGTCTGGCATACAAAGGGGTGGTAGGGACCATGACAAACCCTGCAAATGAAGCAGCCACCACCAGTGCCAGTCAATTGATACCATGTGTGAATGCAAACTCATATTAAAAAAATATATATATATTATAATTTTTAAAAAAAGCCAGCCCGGCCAGTATTGCTCAGTGGTTGAGCGTAGACCTATGAACCAAGAGGTCACAGTTCCATTCCCGGCCAGGGCACATGCCTGGGCTGTGCGCTCAATCCCCAGTGTGGGGTGTGCAGGAGGCAGCCGATCCATGATATTTTCTCTCATCATTGATATTTCTATCCCTCTCTCCCTCTCCCTTTCTCTCTGAAATCAATAAAAATGTATTAAAAAAAAAATAAGTCAGGTCGAATCTGGTTTGGCTCAGTGGATAGAGCGTCGGCCTGTGGACTGAAGGGTCCCAGGTTCGATTCCGGTCAAGGGCATGTACCTTGGTTGTGGGCACATCCCCAGTGGGGGGTATGCAAGAGGCAGCTGATTGATGTTTCTCTCTCATCAATGTTTCTAGCTCTCTGTCTCTCTCCCTTCCTCTCTGTAAAAAATCAATAAAATATATTTTTTTAAAAATGAGTCAGATACCTGGCTTTTCATTTGAAACATTGTTAAATATTGGCTCAACGTTAATCAAAGAAACAAAACAGGTGTACCCATGGCATCTCGTCAGTCTTCCACCTCCAGTCCCCTCTCACAGTCAGTGACATCAGCGGCCCTCAGATCTGCCTGACTTAATGTGTGTTACAGTATGAACCCAACAAATGATAACTGAACTCCTGCCAGGGGCCAGGGAATACGGTGGACCCACACACAGAACCACGCTGCCGTGTCCGATCATGCTAGAATGCGGCCAAACGGCATTCCCGCAAAGTAGAATTCTGAGATTCTCTCCCATGCTCTCCCGGAAGGGGAGATGACTGCACACATTTCCGGGTTATACCCACATGTCCACACACTGTGCTGAGAGCTCAGATGGCTCGGTTCGATATTGAAAAGCTGCTCCTACTTTCTGCAAACAGGTAGAACACGTCCAGGCCAGGCGGACAGATTTGGGGACATGTTTGAGCCCTAGCTTTGCTGTTTTCAAGCTTTGTGACATTAGACCGGTCACTTTGTTACTGAACCACTGTGTACCTTAGTGGACTCATCTGAAAATAGACATAATGACAGTGTCTGGGTGGCTAATGTCAAACTGAAATAATATCCTATATAATAAAGAACTAATATGCAAATGGTCGTCATGCCCTCGCGCCCTCATGCTGGGGCCAGGGGACCTGAGGCCTGGCGGGGGATCTGAGGCTGCACCCCTGCCCTGGCGCTGGGCCAAGGGTCCTGAGGCTGCACTGGGGGGCTTAAGGCTGTGCGCCCCTGCCCGGAGGGGCCAGCTGGGTCTGGGTCTCCTGTGATTGTGAGGCGCTTGCGGGTAGGCGGACACTTGACTCTGGGTCCCGCAGTGCACCCAGACTCTGACAGGAGGGAGACTTTCATATGCGTTTTACTAATTTTCTTTCATCTGACACTTCTATTATAGAGGAAGGGCAAATAGCAACATTAAATTATTTCCTCTAGTTAATTCCCTTTTAACGTGCATGAATTTCGTGCAGCGGGCCACTGGTAATGTAAATAAAGTGCTTGCTATAGTACTTGGGCATCAGAACCATGCAGTCATCAATAAATATTAATTACTGCTTCATAACCATTTAAATTATTCTTCAAAGGAAGGCCTTAAGAAGCACTGAAAATCTATATTCCAATCTACCACTAAGGGCTTTGGCAAGATCTACCATGTACATGGCAATAGACGCATTAAAAAGAATTCAGAGGAAAAAAAAGAAGCTCTTATCTTTTGATCTGTTTATAGATGCTCTAAAAAGCATCCTTTATATTACAACATATTTTTCTTCTTTTGAATATATTTTTATTGTTTCAGAGAGAAAAGGAGAAGGAGAAAGAGATAGAAACAGCAATGGTAAGAGAGAATTATTGCTTGGCTGCCTCCTGCACGCCCCCTACTGGGGATTGAGCCCGGAACCCAGACATGTGCCCTGACCAGGAAGCGAACCGTGATCTCCTGGTTCCTAAGTTAATGCTCAACTACTGAGCCGCCTTGGCTGGGTGACATACTTTGCTTAATTTTCAGCATGCATAAGGCTGCTGAAATGCTTCAATTCACGTACACAAGTGAAAAGTGAGGGTGACAGTCCTGGGACAATGAGATGACACAGATGACTAACATTAAATAGATCTCCTGGCACATGTGCACTATGGCTGCAACATCTGCATTGCATGGTAGCTCATGGACTGTGCAGAAAAACAAACCCTCTCCAGGCGTTTGTTCTCTTGCTCACTGCAGCCGGGGTCCAGCAAGTCTCCTTGGCTCATACGGCCAAGCACGTGTGCTTCCCCCTCGTTTCCTTCCCCTTCTGCGTTACTCACTTCTCTTGCCCTCTGATTCACTTGTCTGCCCAAGTTCCTTTCTCCCTTCACTTCCCCTTCTCCCTCTTCCTGGCCAAGTTCTAATTACCGAAAACCATGAATAACGGAGTCCCTGTTTGCCAGAAGTCTACACATCTGGGAGAAAAGCAAAAGGATATATACAATAGATACCTGTTAACTATACATATATTTAAAAGAGCTACTTCTAAGTGCTTTTTTTGCATGGCTGTGTCATCTTCAAATTGATAGTAAAGTAATAGGCAAATGTCTGGCCAGTGTGGCTCAGTGGTTGAACTCCAACCTGTGAACCTGGAGGTCAGGGTTCGATTCCTGGTCATGGCACGTGCCTGGGTTGCAGGCTAGACACCCAGGGGGCATGCAGAAGGCAGCAATCAATGATTCTCTCTCATCATTGATGTGTTTTTTTGTTTTTTGTTTTTGTTTGTTTTTTTATCTCTTTCTCCCTCTCCCTCTCTGAGATCAAGAAAAATATATTTAAAAAAAAATAAAATAATCATCAACTGAGATGGAATTTTAACTACTTATATTAACAGTACAATGATGTAATTATTTAGAAAAAGACATACAACGGAGAGAAAATTGCTGATCATAAACTGGAATGCAATTGCATAAAAAATAACCCGAAATACTACTATCAGCTCACTTCATTATTCAAAGTCAACACAATCAGCTACTTCTAAATAGCAAATTCTAACATGCAGAAGTCAAGGATTATAAATGAAACCTCAGACCAGGGAAACAAATGATTTTAAAAAAACAAAACAAAACAAAAAAAAACCCAACACTTCACAAACAAGAACTAGAGTGATCCGAGGTAAAACACTAAGACATCATTTTTCTTAACAGAATTAATTGACTAACGACGGTTATATCGAAACCACCAGAAGCCCTCGCAAAGTGAAGCTGCCACGGGCAAGTGTCAAAACTTCCCCATGGAAAGCTGAATGTGTCTCAAAAAGCAGAACAAGCTCTGACTATTGGCACCCCGGAGAAGAATGGAAAACATGTTCAAGACACAAGTATCTGTGACAACTCATAAGGAGATACGAAGTTTAAACACTATTTAGATATCATCCCAGGAATGACAGAGACCATTCACCCCACTGTTGTTCAAAATGTGGCCCTCTGAAATTAGAACCACTTCGGCAACGTGTCAGAATTTCCTATTTTTAAAAAAATATATTTTATTGATTTTTTTTTTTTTTTTTTTTTTTTTTTTTACAGAGAGGAAGGAGAGAGATAGAGAGAAACATTGATGAGAGAGAATCATCGATCAGCTGCCTCTTGCACACCCCCCACTGGGGATATGCGTGCAACCTAAGTACATGCCCCTGACCAGAATCGAATCTGGGACTTTTCAGTTTGCAGACCGATGCTCTATCCACTGACTGAGCTAAACTGGTTCTGGCTAGAATTTCCTATTTTTAACTCAAAGACACAACCTGTCAAAATTCCGTTAATTTTAACTCGGAGACTGTACCCAGACCGACCGAATCAGACTCTCAGGGTGTGGAGCGCAGGATCTACACCACCCAAAAGCAAGCCAAGTGATTGTTTTTTCCACAGTAAAGACCAAGAATTGGTGATGTACGTGATTCTTCTCAAATGGCCAATAAACAGAGGGCCCATGAGGTTAAAGTGATATTTGAAAGTCCTTTCAAATTACAGCATCTGCAGCTCGGCTGGCATGGCTCAGTGGTTGAGTGTCAACCTATAAGTCAGGAGGTCAAGGTTCAATTCCCAGTCAGAGCACATGGCTGGGTTGCAGCCTCGATCTCCAGTGGGGATTGTGCGGGCCGCAGCCAATCATGGTATGATTCTCTCATCATTGATGTTTCTATCTCTCTCCCCCCATCTCCCTTTCTCTCTGAAATCAATAAAAAATATATATATTTTTAAAAATTATAGCATTTGCTAAGCACCTAGTTTGCTGGAGACAAGGGCAAGATTACCAGTTTGATTCTTGGACCTTCAGGCCAGTTTTTTTTCTGCCTTACCGTGCTGCTAACTAGACTCCATGGGAATTCAGAGCTCAAGAAAAACTTGGAGCACTGGCTGGTTTGGCTCGGTGGATAGAGTGTCGACCTGCGGACTGAAAGGTCCCAGGTTCAATTCCGGTCAAGAGCACGTGCCCAGGTTGTGGGCTCAATCCCCAGTAGGGGGTGTGTAGGAGGCAGCCAATCAATGACTCTCTCATCGTTGATGTTTCTATCTCTCTTTCTCCCTCTCCCTTCCTCTCTGAAATCAATAAAAATATATTTTAAAAAGAAGAAAACCTTAGAGAAATATATCAGAGATCTAAGTGACAGTCCTGAACAGTTTCTGGACTTAACAGGGACCTTCCCCCATAACACACTTCCTGCTTTCAGCCCTGCTCTTTCCACACGGAAAAAAATATAAATGGAAAGCGCAGAGAGGAAACCGGAGTAGAGGGCAGGCATCACTGCGTCATTTCATTCCAGCCTTCATCCCACACCAGGGAGAGTTAATGTTTAAGGCCCCGAGCGAATATATGCAGAATCCTTTTGCCAAATTTCAAAGAGAAAACTGGAGCAGCTCAGAAGGCCAGGGAGGAGATAGGAGAGAACTTCAAACTAAAATATAATGGTGGTTAATACTTTAAACAATAAAAAAATATATATTAAAAAATTAAAAAAAAAATACAATGGTGGTTTTTAAAAATGCTCACAGAAGCATCCAGAAGAGTCTGCTCCCTCATCGCTTCCTCTTGTCTTCGAGCTTTCAACTGTTGTTGGAGCTGCTCATTTTCCAGCACAACCACCTGCACCCTATTTTTCATTCCGGAAAGTTCCTCCTGCAAAAAAGCAGAAACCGACATGAAATACATGAAGCGTTTTTATTTGTTGACTACTAGACAATCCAACGTGACGTAAAGCATGGAAGACTTATGTTCTCTGCCTGTTTTCTGAAGTACTGTAATTATATTCAGACAAACAAATGTTAGTCAGCAAACAAAGAGAAGGCTGGAGGTGAGTGGTACAGAGCCTGCTAATGGCCTTTTCAGAGAAGTGTGTGGTCTCTGACAATTTTTTTTCTCCAAGGGATTAAGCAGGCGTCTTCAAACTACGGCCCGTGGGCCACATGCGGCCCGCAGAGGAGTCTGATCCGGCCCGCCAGGTTTTTTGGGCAGTGAGCGCAGCCGAGGTGTTACAGTAGGAATTAGTAGTTCATATAGTCCGGCCCTCCAGCTCTCTGAGGGACCGTGATCTGGCCCCCACTTTAAAAAGTTTGAGGACGCCTGGATTAAGGCTTAGAGAAAGGCTTTAATTAAAGGGGTTATCTAAAAGACTTTTAAGAATGAGGTAGACTGCTGAAAACTAAGGTAAGATATATTATTACTCCCTAGAGGCTGGGTGCACAAATTTGTGCACCAGTGGGGTTCCTTGACCTGGCTGGCAATTGGGGCTGATCGGGGCCAGCCGGGGGGAGGGACTGAGGGAAGTTGGCCAGCCACAGGAGGTTGCCTGTGGGAGGCTGGCTATGGGAGGTTGTTTGTGGGAGCATAGGGGTGCAGCTCCTGTGTTGAACGTCTGCCCCTTGGTGGTCAGTGCACGTCATAGCGACCAGTCGATCGGTCATCCAGTGGACCGGTCATAAAGGTTGCTCAGGCTTTTATCTAGATATACTAATAAAAGGGTAATATGCTAATTAGACTGGGTGGACCGGACATCTTCTGGATGGCTGACTTCCTTCCGGACAGAGCCCGATGAGTGGACGGCCAGTTCCTGATGAAAGTATGTCTCCACCTTGGATGGACTGTGTTTTCCTTGATGCTGACAATCAGCAGCCTTCACTGGTGGGGAAGGGACTGTATATCTACACTCCTGTTGTGATAAAGCCGCCCAGTGTCCACGCAGCACATGAAAAGCCACCAACCAAACAGCTTTATTTAAAAATATAGGTATAGCCCCAAATAACGGGGGAGGGGGTGGGGCACAGTGAAGAGACAAAGAGCTCCCAGCATTTATAAACCCAGAAACAAAAAGACTCAGAGAAACTGAACTAGTTTTTGTTTTTTTTGTTGTTTTTTTTTGAGAGATAGAGGTTTCCCCATGTAGGGCCTCCTCCAAGAGGATCCCCCTTTAAGGACCCCTCCCTTGGGAAGAGTTTGTATATGCTTCCAATAATCTTCCACATCTTTATTTAAAACCTTTTAGTCGACCAATTTTTTTAAAACTATATTTTATTGATTTTTTTTTTTTTTAACAGAGAGGAAGAGAGAGGGATAGAGAGTTAGAAACATCAACGAGAGAAAATCATTGATCAGCTGCCTCTTGTACACCCCCTACTGGGGAAGTGCCCGCAACCAAGGTACATGCCCTTGACCGGAATCGAACCTGGGACCCTTTAGTCCGCAGGCCGACGCTCTATTCACTGAGCCAAACCGGTTTCGGCCTAGTCCACCGATTTTATTCTTCAAACTTCGTAGGACAAGACCCCACAGAAGAGACTGCTCACCCCGAACCCCACGTCACACTGGGGTAGGGAAAGGTAATGTTTGGTTGACGAAGTGCTCATTGTAGACAAGGCTGCGAGTTAAAACTCTAGAGCCCCGGGATCTTCAAACTACGGCCCGCGGGCCACATGCGGCCCGCAGAGGAGTCTGATCCGGCCCGCCAGGTTTTTTGGGCAGTGAGCGCAGCCGAGGTGTTACAGTAGGAATTAGTAGTTCATATAGTCCGGCCCTCCAGCTCTCTGAGGGACCGTGATCTGGCCCCCACTTTAAAAAGTTTGAGGACGCCTGCTCTAGAGGGACCTGGTGTTGGGGGGAATCCTACACTTCTGTGAATTTTATCTCTAGGTCACCAGGTTCTTCCAGCAAAGACTAGAGAAAAATCCCCTCCTGGAAGAGAGGAGTCGCAGCCATTTTGAAATATGTCCAGAGCATCTGTCCTTCCTAACCGCCTGCCACAGGAGGAGCTATTTTATCAGAGTCTAACGAGCTGGTTTTTTCAGGTCCTAACCGGCCTGGGGAAGGGAGATACCCATCTCCGACTGTCCCCAGCCTTCCTGTCTCACTGCAGGGTGGGGGAGATTGAGGGACACTTGTGAAAGTCATGGCCAGGGGCAAGACTGACCAAAAACCTGAACCCTAATCACAGGACCTAGGCTGCTTCCCAGACTCCCAGTCCACCACCACATCAAAGGGGCCCCTATGTAATGGCAGGGGAATGTACTGAAATAACTGTGCATCTTACACCATATTCCAGAAGAATCTCCAAGGGAGGCCCTAAGACATCAAGGAGACAAAAAGCAAGAGACTGGAGGCCATGTTGGCCTCTGCCACCTATAGCAACAGCCAAAACTGTCCACACAGCCTAACTCCCAGCCAACTAAACGTAAAAGCTCACACTAAAAGTCCACTTCCCCTGCTCCTTTTGTGGAAGAAAAGGGCCATATGCTAACCCGACTAGTTCAGGGAAGGCCTGCATGGCGGTTGTGCAAACTCAAAGCCCTAAAATAACCACAAAGAACGGTTAAATATTACACTACAAACAGGTTATGGTGGGCAGTCATGTCCTAGGCCAGTATTTTCCTAAGATCAACTTAGATCTTTACTGAGCCCATTTGTCATTTTGCCACTAAGATAACATATCAGTGAAATGTCTGGGTAACTTGTAACTTCCCTTTTTCTTTTTCCAGACCCCTCTGGACACAACAAATAGCACCAGGACAGTCCCTCAATGTTATTGTTATCAAGTTAATTGTCAACTGTTGACTATGTTAACTATCCTGTGTCCATCTGTGTAAAAGAAGCACATGTCCATCATTTCACTTTTTATCTGATCCCAGAGGTTTCCCCGCTTTGCTTTATCCCACCTCCTTCATCTGTCACCAATGGATTGAATGTAATCCACTTTTCTAAATTTTATAAATTTAAAATTTTCCTTTTAAATTTATAAAAATCAAGGTATGAACTCCTCATTCTCCAGAGCATTTTCTTAATTCCTTGAGGATCTGCTTCCCGGCATATGTCGACAGTTTGGCTCAAATAAACTCACAAAATTCTTTACAGGTCTGAATGCTTTTTACGTTAACACTTTGACCCAGTACATCATGTATAACATTCAATGAAAAGTTACAAGATGCATTAAAAGACTTAAAACTCAGTTTAAAGAGACTAAGCCAGCCCAGAACCAAATTTGGATATGGCAGAGGTGTTGGAATGATCAGATTAGGAGCTCCAAATAATTAGCATTAACATGCTAAGGAGTCTAGTGGGAAAAGTGGACTACATATAAGAATGTAAGGGTAGCCGAAACCGGTTTGGCTCAATGGATAGAGCGTCAGCTTGGGGACTGACGGGTCCCGGGTTCGATTCCGGTCAAGGGCATGTACCTTGGTTGCAGGCACATCCCCAGTAGCGGGTATGCAACAGGCAGCTGATCGATGACTCTCTCTCATCGATGTTTCTAAATCTCTATCTCTCTCCCTTCCTCTCTGTACAAAATCAATAAAATATATATTATTAAAAAAAAAAGAATGTAAGGGTAATGTAAGTAGAGAAATTAAATATCTAAAACAGAATCAAAAGGAAATGCTAGAAAGAGTGCCCTTGGTGGGCTCATTAATAGACAGGACACATCCAAGGAAAGAATTACTAATGAGCTTGAAGAATTGTCAATAGAAACTTCTCAAAATTAAATGCAAAGAGAAACAAAGAATGAAAAACAAAACAAAACAAAACAACAACAACCAAAACAGATTATCCAGGAACTGTAGGACAATTACAAAAGGTGTAACATACATGTAATGGGAATTGCAGAAAGAGAAGAGACATAGTTTGGGAAGTCAGAAATGCTCCAATGCATTAATGGCATTACTAAATTCCATATAGTCAAGCAATAGGTAACTCTATTATTTCAAGCCATAGTGACACATTTGGTTTCTTGATCATTGTTACTAGTATCCCCATGAGCCATTCCCATCATTCAAAGTCAAGGTCAGAACCTTCATACTGACAATGGATCAGGTTTGGTCTAGTAGCTTAAATCCCTGCCTGCTGCACCCCAGCTTCAATAGGTTGACAAATGTGGGGGAATGACTGGGATTACTATTCCAAAGCCTCTTTAATCAGCTGGGCTAAAGTAATGGGAGTGGACAGAAAACTTCTGAAACAACAGATCATATTATCAAAATGTTAGACACAGTTGGGTTATGAACTACTGGAAAATTGAGCAACCAGAAATGGCCTGGTCGCCCTGGTAAGTGTGGCTCAATTGGTTGCTGGATTGGTTCCCAATCAGGGCAAGATCCAGAGTTGAGGGTGTGGGGGAAGCATCCAATTATGTTTTTTTCTTCACATCAATGTTTCTCTCTCTCTCCTTATCCCTTCCTCTCTCTCTCTAAAAATCAATAAAAATATTTTTTAAAAAGAAATGGCATGGTCAAGGGTATCATTCCCAAGTTTCATACACATTAGTCTTTCCAATCATATAAGCATGGTGATTGTCAATATAATTGCTATAAACTTGAAGACTAATAATAGCAAATTTTCACGTAAGGCATTATTAATAAACTTTAATTTAGGTAGATTTATGTTTTTAATGAGAAAATTACCTTGCAGAACTTGACTTCTGCCTCCAAATGATGAATGTATTGGGACTGATCATTGATGATAGGGACAAGATTATGAAAAGTAGGCATATTGGTTTCCTCACATTCTGATGACCTCTAAAGAAAAAACACACAAATTAAGAATGTTTGGTTTTATCAAAGAATCAATAAATACCATCTGCATACTCAATTTAGCACTGACGTCATATAAACACAGATTGAATCACATGCAGCTACTAAGTATTTATTTCTCCATCCTAAAAATTCCACAAATAGATGCAGGGATATGAACATTTTTTTAAAGATGGAAAGTGATGGTGGTTATAAAAAGCACCTGGCAAATGGAAAAATGCCAGGCAGTATAGTTAGCATGGGATGGATAGACTGTCTGTTTGAGCCAACTATATATAAAAAAGCCTAATATGCAAATTGTCCCTCAGGAGTTCAACTGGGAGACCAGGAGTTTGATCGCTCGCTATGATGTACGCTAACCACCAAGGGGCCGTGTGGAATGAAAGAAGGCCCAGGCCAGCAGCTGGCAGCTGGGTAAGGGAGGCCCCGGGCAGCAGCCAGAAGGAAGGCCCTGATCAGTCCTGTTCGCCAACCAGGCTTAGGGACCCTACCCATGCATGAATTTCATGCACTGGGCCTCTAGTTTTGAAAGAAAGGGACAACTCCCTTTAAGAAACCTCCATGGCAGAGGAGTGGCAGCTAAGGCTTCAGTAGCTCCCTGAAGGAGGGACTCTTTAGAAGGGTGTTCGATGCCAAGTGTGTGTCATGAGTTAAATTCTGTTGTTACTACTATTTCAGCCATTTAAACCTGGCAAATCCTCCCCTCACACCTAACTTAGCCTGTAGCCTATCACCCTGCTTCAATCAGGAGTAATACACTCTGTCAAAGCAATGGCAATAAAATCCAACTTCAGAAGATACAGGGCCTCACTTCAAGTATCACACAATTTTATAACCATGTGTTTTTAAATGTAGAATAAGATTACACACTTTGGCTTTGACGTTCACAATAAAAGCATATCACAAAGGACAGCTGGGATTATAATTAAGTAAATTCTAAGAAATGATCAAATACAGATATAACCCTCTAAAAAAGAAGTGGCTAATCTTTTCCACATACTGTTCCTTTTTTATATTTGCTAATAGTTGCAAAGTGAATTCCCTAAACTATTTCCTCACTCACATTTCTCAAGTGAAGAATAAATTAAAATACCAGGATTCCCTCTGTATATACAATCTCTCTTCTGCCGTTAAAACCATCAAAGGGGAAATAATTACTTCTTACAGTTTATTTACTCAGAACACCCTGCTCAGGATTGCTCTACCACATTTGCCACTAAAATGACACTGACAGGAAAAACATAGTTAGAAAAATAATGTCTTCGTTGCGTTGCAAATGTTGATACTTACCAAAGGGGTTATTTTTTGTCTTCTTGATGGAGACACCTCACTTTCCTCAGCTGCATGTTGGTGCAACAAGGCTATGAGTTGATTAACTACAGGGCAGAAGCAATAAATGTGTTTAGTAACCTGATGAGAGATCCATGGTTTATCATCACCCATTCACTCTCCCATCCAATATTGTTTAACACACATTAAGTATCAAGAACAGGGGATGTGCCGAAACCATTTTGGCTCAATGGATAGAGCGTTGGCTTGGGGACTGAAGGGTCCCGGGTTCAATTCCGGTCAAGGGCACGTCCCTTGGTTGCGAGCATATCCCCAGTAGGGGGTGTGCAGGAAGCAGCTGATCGGTGACTCTCTTTCATCGATGTTTCTAACTCTCTATCTCTCTCCCTTCCTCTCTGTACAAAATCAATAAAATATATTAAAAAAAAAAAAAAAAAAGAACAGGGGGTATAAAGAAAAGGTGAGAAATTCTTAGGAGCTAAGAATCCACTGGGCAAGAGTGACACACTAATAGATACAAAACAACTAGAAGCCCGACGCACGAGATTCGTGCCAAAATGGGCCTTCCTTTCCCTGGCTGCCAGCACCACCTTTGCTCTGGCAGGGGCCGTCTTTCCACCTTCCTATGCTGCTCAGAGGCCAGGAGCATCTGCATATGCAAATTAACCCACCATATTTGTCGGGTTAATTTGAATGCCCGCTCCTGATTGGCTGGTGGGCGTCGCGGAGGTACGGTCAATTAGCATGTTACTCTTTTATTAGGTTTGTATGTAGACCCAGAACCATAGACAGTGCTATGAAAAGAGGAAGCACCTAACTGTGCCTGTTCTCACAGAGGAGTTAGCTCTGTAAAGGAGGAACGGGAGATGGCTCAGCAGAAAAGGGTGAGACAAATTCCAGCAGAAGGCATTCACGTGCAAAAGCACAGGAGCCTGGCCAGGAGCTTGGTCTGACTAGAGCATGCCTTGCAAGATGGCTGGCTGGAAGGAGGCTAGAAAAAACGAGGCTGGGAAGGTCGCTTGGAGCCATCTACGGAAACGTTGCTATGATATACTAAGAATTTTGGACTCTGGCCTATAGAGGCATTGGGAAGTCAAAGGAAAAAAAAGTAAATGAGGAACTGTATTAGCTGATTTGTGGTCCAGGGATAAAATCCCAGCAGTAGAGGGGAGAGGGGTTGGAGTAGTTACTGTATGGAGCTCAAAGAATTCACTGTGTGTGGGTCACCCGGGTTAGGGCTGCGTTCAAATCACCGGCATGGCTGTGCTGTAGCTGGTGCCAGGAAGTCCCAGGGTCCTCGCTTCCTCCTTCGGCGCTAAAAGAAGGTTCTAGTGCATCGTCTCTGCCAGCGGCATTGTCTTCTCTCAGGATGCAACTCAGCTGGTGAAGGCTTCTGTTCGCGCGTTCTGCAACAACACGGCGAGAGTGAGGCTGGAGGAGTCTGGGCGGACACAGGCACCCACACCCCAGAGGGCCGTTTCTAAGGGAGAAGCAATCCTTCGGAAACCTTACGTGCAAAGGCAGAGTTGTTTCTGGCTCGCTGAGGAACGTGCTGGAGGAAGCGAGGGAAGGTTAAGTTCGTGGCTGAAGATTAGACTTCGTGTCTAAGGTCACTGGCACCTCAGCGGTTGATACTCACTACCTAGAGTGCTCCAGCAGGAGGACTGAACGGGAGAGCTCCTCCCTAACCCACTAGCCAAGGAGGCAGAGCGCCAAAGACTCCCTTAATCCGCCCGGAGACACAGGGTTGGGTGGCAGGATCCACAAGAGGGACTCCACCACACCAAGCCCTGCCCAGGGAAGCCTCCTTGTCCCTGTGACCCGACGTCCCTCCCCCCGAACCCCCCAAGAGACAGCCAACTGCCTGGCCTAGTTTTCAATCAAGATTTGAAGAACCAGATGCTTTGAGTGGCAGCCCCTGCAGACCAGCCATTCATATGTCCTGCTGGCTGAGGACATTGATGTAGAAAGTCCTGGTCAGTGCAATGACCAACACAAGCTCACACTCATCAACACGTACTTAACATCAAGTTTAAGACAAAGTATTCTTTTTTTACATTTTATTTTTTTATCTTGATTTTTAAAAAATATTTTTATTGTTTAAAATATTACATATAGTAGTACATATATCTCCTTCCCCCCCCCCCCATTGACCTTCCCTCCAACCCCCCTTATCTCCTGTGGCATACCTCATCCCATCCCCACTACAGTGTCTTGCATCCATTGGTGTGCTTACATGCATGCATACAAGTCCTTCGGTTGATCTATTTCTCTCCCTCCCCAACCCTCCCCAGCCTTCCCGCTGTAATTTGACAGTCTGTTCGGTGCTTTACTGCCTCTGTATCTATCTTTTTTGTTCATCATTGCCTGGCTTATTTCACTTAACATAATGCTCTCCAGGTCCATCCATGCTGCTGCAAATGGTAAGAGTTCCTTCCTTTTTTTATAGCAGCGTTGTATTCCATTGTGTGAATGTACCACAGTTTTCTAATCCACTCACCTGCTGATGGGCATTTAGGCTGTTTCCAAATCTTAGCTTTGGTGAATTGTGCTGCTATAAACATAGGGGTGCCTATATCCTTTCTGATTGGTGTTTCTAATTTCTTGGGATATAGTCCTAGAAGTGGGATTGCTGAGTAAGACAAAGCATTTTAAGGCAGATTGTTATAGTAGTTTATCTCTAAAAATGGACCCAAGGCTCAAACCCTTCTCCTCTCCCACGTTGTTGAAATTGATCAGGTCTGTAAGGCATCCACCAATACAATGTGGTGGAAGTGACACCATGCCATACCAGGCCTCGGCTTTAAAATGCCTCTGGGAATGGTTGCTTTTGGGAGCCCTAAGCCACAAGCAGGAAGTCTGGCCACCCCACTGGGGACACTGTGAAGAGGCCACGTGGGAAGGAGAGGCCACTCGGGAAAGAGAGAAGCCCAGGCCTGCTAAAAGCCCAGGGGCCCTCCAGGGCCGTTGCTTCCAGCCTTCAAGTTTTGGGGTGGTTTGCTATATAGCAATAGATAACGGAAATAACGATCAGGGAAATACTAGCCCCAAAACACTTTCGGCAAAGGATCCAAGTCTTACATTAATAGCGGAACTATACTAATACCAGCAGTGATATATGACTAATAGTTCTACTCTACTGTAGTGGGTATTTTTACATGAATATCAATGGAGAACCAAGCAGCCAACTGGTAATTTCATTGATTTCAGGTTTAAATGTCTGCTAATCTCATGATTAAATTTGCTGGTTTCAACCCAGAAAACTATAAGTATATTTTAAAAATGTTCTTCATAAGTTGGAGGTGGGGGCTAAATTTCAGTCACCATTTTCAAATTTTGACATCTGTACTTGAAAATTATTTTTAACTCATTAATTTTATATATATAAAAGGCTAATATGCAAAGTGTCCCCTCAGGAGTTTGGACAGGAGAATGGGAGTTGACTGCTTGCTATGATGTGCGCTGAACACCAGGGGTGGCACAAGGAAGGCCCCAGCTGGCAGCCACAAGGCTCCAATCAGCCCTGATTGCAGGCCGGGCCTGGGGTCTCTATCTGTGCACAAATTTCGTGCACCAGGCCTCTAGTGTATATATAATTATGTTGGAAAAAGATGAATTCCCACTCAGGTTAATGCACACCTACTGTCTATTTCAAATGGATTCCATTTAAACAATTCTTAAGTTCTTCAGAGGAGAAGGTGCTTTCCCTCAGTAAGAGCAACTTGCAACAATGACGGCAATGAGGTTGCCATCTTTTGTTCCAGGCCCTCCTTTTACAATGTAGACCTATTTCTTCTTATATCCTCATGAGATAAAGCTCCTCTTCCTGCTTCCTATATGGGAACCCCAAGAAAGCCACAAAACATGTTTTCATTATCACTGAAAAAAATATTCATAAACATATATTCTCCAGAACCTTGGGAAACAGATTCCATTTTCTCCATGCTCATCAATTTCAAATTATGGAAAAGAAAAAATAACCATAACTTAATCGAAGGAAATACACCCTAAAGTACACCCTATATTACAAAATACCTAATATAGCTTCATCATTCGGAAAAACTCATTTTCTACCTGGATTAAACTTAAGAGGACTGGTCTTTGAGTCCAGGTGCAACACTAATCTGATGAAATGCTATTACTCAGCTACACAACATACGTGGTGAATTTATCACTACCTTTCTCTCCACACCAACTCTGTTTCCACACAGACCTTTCTCTAACAGGAAGGGGGTGCCCATTACTAAGCCAGACTGGCCTCCGGTTACTCATCAGGAATTTAAGAAAAGTCCAGAGGCGATGCATTCCTGACCTGAGCAAAATGAGCAGCAGCAATGGTTTTTCCAATAACTGCACATGCTCTGAAGACACTTGTTAATGGGAAAGGGAAGTCAAAGTGTCACGTGATAAGCCATTTGGTGCCCAGAGCTTTAGATTTATGCACTTAGATCTACGAATAAAGCACTTAGCTCCACGGCCTCCATTAGAACAGGAGCAGGGGGTTTGACTAACATTAAGAGTGTCCTCTGGGAGGTATCGGATGACTTCCCCTCCAAGACAAAGGATAATTACTTATTTATACCTAATCTGACTAAAAGCGAATACGCCATATTAGGGAAAATAAAGGAAATCTGAAGAAAAAAAAAATTTGCATAGTTAACAGTCCCGGGAGGCAGAGTTCTTTCATCAGATTACAAGGATGGCAGATCTGATAAGCTCATTGATCCCTCCTCTAATGTCTCAGAAGTCTTATTTAATCTTTTAGAATTTCTAACAGTCAAAGATGATGTGTTAAATGGCACCATGAAGATAAGTATGATGTGAAGTCCTGAGCAAAGGGTACGTGATATGTTTAAAGTTATTTCAGTGCTCCATTTCAAAACATGTGTTATGCACTTGGACAAAGAGAGCTCATCCTGAGGCGTAATAGCGCTCCCATGATCCTGGACAGAGGGAAACCCCGTTGCTAGTCAACTGGAGCCATTGCAACTGAAGGCCCCACAAATCCTATTCGGAACAACCTCCTCCCCCCCGATGCGGTACCTCCTGCATACACACAAGGAAACCAGATGACACAGGAGGTGCCAATGGGCACAGCTCAATCTGCTCTAACCCAGAGAGCAAGAAAGGACTCTCGTTTCCTCTTCTCTCCTCAGGGGACATCCTGATTTCTCCTCCCAGGACCTAACATGGGCTGAACGTCAACTCAATTATGAATACAAACAGCAGTAGGACTACAAAAATCATAGGAACACAAGTGTAAGTGAATAACATTTCTGCTTGTCCACTATCCAAACATCAGGACCGGTCAGGTTATAGCCAGCTGCTGATTGCTGACAACTGAAGCCTGTTTTATTCATTTTTAAAAATATATATATTTTATTGATTTTTTTACAGAGAGGAAGGGACAGAGATAGAGTCAGAAACATCGATGAGAGAGGATCATCGATCAGCTGCCTCTTGTACAGCCCCTACTGGGGATGTGCCTGCAACCAAGGTACATGCCCTTGACCAGAATCGAACCTGGGACCTTTCAGTCTGCAGGCCGACGCTCTATCCACTGAGCCAGACCGGTTTCGGCTTATTTATTTATTTATTTATTTTTTAATCCAGTTTCCCTACTTCTAACTCCTGGCTCATCATTGGATGTTTCTGAACAAAAGGAAAGTGTGCCCCCGTCTAGCGAGGACCAGCCCTCGTATACATACTGTGAATTATTAATCTCTACACTGTCCATCTGCACCGGGGGATGAGGGGGGGAATTAGCCTGGTGACAGGGACAGCGGGCCACATCCTGCGAAACACCCAGCTGTCTCCGAGAAAGCATGCAACCGACCAGACTGCCCCAGGCGGAGACATTAGACGCATCCCAATTCTCAGAACAAGCTCAGACTCAGCGGGCAGGCAGGAAACTGAGACCGCAGAGAGATAAGAGATACAAGTGTCTGTCCACCCTGCCTGGGCCTCTGCCTGGCCGGGAGATGGTGTCACCGCTTACCAAGAGACTGACAGCTACTGAAACCAAGATACAAAAGCCTAATCCAGAACCAGACAGAGCCAGCTTGGTAAATGGCCATGATAATAGAGAGGCATCAAACGCAGTATATGGAAAGTTTTTTCTAAAAAATCCCAAAGAAGCCGAAACCGGTTTGGCTCAGTGGATAGAGCGTCGGCTTGGGGACTGAAGGGTCCCGGGTTCGATTCCAGTCAAGGGCATGTACCTTGGTTGCGGGCACATCCCCAGTAGGGGGTGTGCAAGAGGCAGCTGATCGATGACTCTCTCTCATCGATGTTTCTAACTGTCTATCTCTCTCCCTTCCTCTCTGTACAAAATCAATAAAAAATATATTTTTTTAAATCCTAAAGAAAATGCTACCATCAGGACTCTCACTAGCCCACAAATGTG